AATAACATGAATATATGTTATATATACATATATGTATATGTTATATCGCCAAATGTAAACACAATGTAGGGAGAAAATAGCAGAAGTTCATAGTAAAAAAGTAAAATAAAAGTCCCACACTATCTAGACAATCGGTTCAAAGATGGCGGTAAGGTTGTCAGCCTTATGCCCCGGTCGCGCTGCTCCTGGTACTCATTTCTGTTAGAGGCTGAGTAAACACCATGGCCTAGTGCGGCTGGAAGGATTACGTTAACTGAAACAAATCGGATGAACTCATCGGGACTTGAACCCGCGACCTTCCGGCTTGTAGCATAGACCCCTCAACCAACTACGCTATCGCGTGCCCCCAGAAGATCACAGTGCGAGTGTAAATATTTACCCGATAATGGCCATAAAGAGCCTAAACATGTAAAATAATACATAAATTTTATACACTAACTGTGGTGATGGAGTTAATAATAATGGAAGGGCTATATTAGGACACAATTTTGATGTTAATGATGCATATGAAGCATGCAGCGCAACGTGGAGTTAGGATACCAACTCAGCATTTGCTCTAGAACAGAGGAAAACCAAGGATAATCTTGATCTAGTTGGCCGGTCTCAGGGCCTTCCAGATAGAAACCGACTTCTAGCCATCAGCCCGGCATTAAACACGCGAAAAATAACATTAGACCCTACCCAATTGTTGCCTTATTTGAAGAAGCTTACGTATTTGTTTAGGCCGCGCCATAGCTCAAGCTGTTAGTCACTGGCTTCCCACCGCGGCGGCATGGGTTCGATCCCGGGTCTGGTCAAGTGGGATTTGTGGTGGACAAAGTGGCGCTGGGGCAGGTTTTCTCCGAGTACTTCGGTTTCCCCTGCCAACCTTCATTCCACCAATTGCTCCACAATCACCCTCACCTATCATCTGGGGCTGGTACAATAGGCCAGAAGTGGCCGCAGTGCAAGGGACTTAGTCCCACCCCACTAGCAATAAAAAAATTACTTATTTGTTTAGCATAGCTCTTCTTTATGTACACGCTTTGGATGAATATCAAATAATGTTGTATTGTATTTGCGAAGCGCGTACATGACCATACAAACACAAATGCATATAAACACATGTGCGTACTGACATTTGTGACTATTTGAGTATTCGCGAAATTCATTCATTCATCAGTAATCTGTCAAGACGACAGGTCCACAGTCTCTTCCGAAACAGTTCCTCCACTTAACGCGGGCTAGAGCTTTCTCCTTCAAATGAGAATATCTTCTTCTGTCCCCAAGGTCATCCAGCATCTTCTTACGTCTTCTTCCTCGTCTTCTGGTCACTTCTATCCGCCCCTTTATCTTTCCTTCAATAACTTCTTTTAGAAGGCAGTTTCTGCGTAAAACATGACCAATCCAATTAGCTTTCCGTTTTCTTATTTCGTGTAGGATATTCCTCTGCTCACTGACTCTAAATAACACTTCTTCATTTCTCACATAATCGGTCCAACTGATCTTCTCCATCCTTCTCCAACACCACATTTCGAAGCTTTCCAGGTGTTTCTGATCTACTGCCCTAAGCGATTCGCGAAATATGAGAATTTATTTTGGGGGTCTAATCTAAAGACCTTCACTTTATCGTATTGGCAGCTCCGGTTACTTCACCACAACTGAGTGTGCCAGGAAAGTAGTAATATTCGGGGGAGGAAAATGAGCTAGAAGGCAGCACGAACCCGGTACAGTTGCTTATCCCGGTGAGGGCACCGATATTGCGTCATGCAGGTGGACCGAAGACCACCGACCCTTACTCCTACAAGATAGCGCCGATTCACTGATGTTGCAACGGTGGTTAAGGGCGAAATGTAAGAATTTGAAAATCCCTGGCCACTCCAAATCGTACAGGTCGAATAGGCCAACTGCGACAACCATCTCAATGTACGTTGGCAGCGTTAGGTTTCAACTGAGGCAGTACCGCAGGGACGGCACGGCACGGTGTATGCTGGAGACATCTTTCCTTTTCTTTGTCTTCAACGAAAGGGGTTGGTTGCTGAGAACCGGCCGGTGTGTACGAGCTCCCACACAGGACCAAGAAAGTAGGCCCGGTTTGGGTTTACCATCGTCATTACCGGTAAAAGGTAAAGCTATCCCTGTAACAGGCCGTGGAGTCCCATAGGGACGTGAGACGTCGAGGCTCCCACATTTTCTAGACCAGTGGTTCTTAACCTTTGTGAGACCGCGGCCCGGTAATTTTTTATAAGACGATGGCCCGGTAACGGACCGTGGCTCAGAGGTTGAGAAACACTGTTCTAGACAATCGGCTCATAGATGACGGAGACGTCAGACTTACGCACCGGCCGCCCTTTACCTCAAGGAAAATTCTTGTTACTGTTAGAGGCTAAGACAACCCCAGAGCCATAGTGCGGCTGGAAGTATTAGGTCAATTGGAAAATCCAATGACATCGGGAACTAAACCCGCGACTTTCCGGCTTGTAGCATAGTGCCTGAATCAAATCCGCTACCGCGTGACCCTCATCACTACCAGACGTCTCTCCAAACGGAGGGAACTGAACCCGCGACCTTCCGGCCTTTAGCATAGTGCCTGAATCAATTACGCTACCGCGTGCCCCTCGTCACTATCAGAAGTCTCTCCAAATGGAGCAATCGACTGGTGAATTTCGATGTATCGATGGAAGCATCCGTCACTCGAGAGCTCGAGAGCCACTGGCTTCCCGGATGCCTTGCGTGTTGCTCTTGTTGTATCTTGCTACCGAGATACAAGGTCGTCACTCGTAGGTTGTCTGCATGTGTGGTCTGCTTTGGTTGGGTGTAAGAGTAGTGAACGTGTATGTCGTAATTTCCTCGTGCTTCTATGTCACCAGTCCCGATAAGTTTGTTCTGGAGGACCCGCAACTGAGTCATATTGCTTGCGGCCACACGGCCCCGTCCGAGAACTCCATACAGTTGAATGTGGCAAATTACTGATTTCTATATATCAGTTTTACTTTAGCATTCAAAGCCATATAAACCAAAGTTACTCAAAACGTCGTTAAATGGACCAGAAATAAATAAGAAATTGAATGTGGATGAGTGAGGAGATACCGACGTAACGGATCACAAAAAGTACTTCTTACTTACTCATGGAACTGAGCCCTTCTTGAGCCGCCGCCAATTCTGCAGCTACTCAAGAATTTCCCAGCATTTTATGGAACCCGAAGGTTCATGACAGTGTTCACAAGAGCCTTCCAATCCAGATCAATCCATCCCATCCTATCTCTCTAAGATCAATTTTAATATTGTCCACCCACCTATGCCTTGATCCTCCCAGTGGTCTCTTTCCTTCTGGCTTTCCGACCAATATCCTATATACATTCCTCTTCCCCCTCATTCGTGCTACATGCCCTGCCCACCTCATTCTCCTTGAGATAATTCTAATTATACTTGGAGAAGAGTACAAGTTATGAAGCTCCTCATTATGCAGTTTTCTCCAACCTCCTGTCACTTTATCTCTCTTCGGTCCAAATATTCTCAACACCCTGTTCTCAAACACCCTCAGTCTATGTTCCTCCCTTAATGTCAGGGACCAAGTTTCACACCAATACAGAACCACGGGCAAAATTATAGTTTTGTATAGTCTAATTTTTATGTTTTTGGACAAGAGACGAGAAGACAAAAGGTTCTGGACTGAATGGTAGCAAGCATTACCCGAGTTCAGTCTCCTCTTAATTTCCTCCTTAATCAGGCTTTCATTTATTATAGTCGTTCCCAAATATCTGAATTGTGCCACATTTTCAAAACATCTGTTAGCTGTTTTTATCACAAAACAGTGGATGAAGGAAATGAAGACGGACAGAGCGGGAGCGTCTGTCACCCTGAAGTCCACATTCCCAATGTCCCTGGTAAGAAAAAGTGAGAACTCCAAGCCACACTCCTGTAAAGCGAATTAATATCGTTCACGTCTTGACTTCCCTTCACGTGACAGTGCAAACGGCTTCACAGATATTCAGACAGACAGACAAGTCACCGAACTTGGGAGGTCTCGGTTTGGAGAATGGCTATATTGATTGATGTTCTTTGTGGTTTTGCTCGATCCCTCCGCTGATATACCAAGATAATACTTCGAATGAGGTGACATCTCAAAATGTTACTGCTGTAGCTTGACATCTCACTGCACTCAACTGTTCCTTTATACGTTTAAATTGCAGGGTAAGTCCTGAATGCGTAACTTCTTGTCGTGCTCGTAGACTGTTGGTGTGCTACAAAAAAAAAACCTCCGAGGCCTGTAGTCTGCAAGCGAATTATACCGACCGAGCGACCGCCGCTCATCGGCGGAGTTAGTGCCAACTTTTGCGGATAGAAGGTGTCACGTGGTCAGCGCAACGAATCCCCACGGCCGTTAATTTCGGTTTTCTAGACCGGAGCCGCTATTTCCTTGAAATAGCTCCTCAATTATCCTCATGAGGCTGGGTGAACCCCGTTCCAGACCCACTACTTCTCAAAAAAACTGGTAGGGCCGGGAATTGAATCCGGGACTTCTGGATCTGCAGCCAGGAACAAGTTGGTGTGCCACGTTGTTACTTTTATAAATGTTACTTCTACATGTTTCTACCTTCTAAGGTCCTCATCAGATGGCCAGGTTTACGTAATTACTGCGCTGTATTAACTTTTCTAGTACATTGTTTTAGAACCTGGTTAAAACTAGCTTTAGAGATACCTTCTGTCTTCATAGTCAGGGTGAGAGTTACTCTTCTACCCTAAACACGAAGACAACATGCTCCCCCGAAAAGTTCATACTTACCGAACTACACGACGTCATATTCCAGAAGACAGTAATGTTCACAAGCCTATTCACCATAATGAGAATCTCAAATTTCGCGTACATAAATTTTGATTCTAATTGCTGTTCGATGCCTATACACGTCAATATAAAGGAACTGTTTGTTAATTACAAACACAATTAAGAAATACATTTCTTGCATTACAATTGCTTACACCAACAAGCAACAATCATTAGAGGTATATCTGTTACTCACCAAAGCTTCTGCATCGCCCACCAGTTTGACGAAATCCTTCAGTAATTTTGATTTTACTTAATTTTCCTTATACACTTCATGAAGTCTGTAATTTGTTCTACGTTCACTCGTAGTTCACTTCCACCCCTGCTTCAGCAAACACTTTATAATAAAATACGCTTCTCAACTGACGACTGCAAAAAACTCAGTCTAATTGGACTGCAAGCTGATATGCATCTCCGAGCTTACTACATGCCTGAATCAACACGTGCCGTTTTATGGTCGACCTCAGCATGTTTGGACGTAAAATGCATTAATTTTTCGAACCGAGTAACTTTGAATATCAAAAGATTACTTAACTCACTTAACTCATCTTCACCCCAAATTCGATTTTGATTTTAAAATTACTGGAAGGTCAAATCACAAGATATTCATAATACAGCTGCAAGGCTTATCAAAAAGTTTACTTCTTGCTGTAACACCATATGTACACATACCCGTCGACATACAGACTGGACAGCAATGGGACGAGCTTGCCAGACACACTTCAATGACATTTATTTTTTGTTAAAATATCCTGACATTATCCCTAATAAATTCGCACCTCCTACGTGATTTTAGCAAAAAACACTTTTCTGTTATTTCACACTAAATCAAGCACTTTAACCACCGTCTATTCGTTTCTACTGGCTGAAGGGCATCCATGATGCTCGTCTATTTCGGCGGGCTATCGCTGTTAACAACACACGAGAACCAGGAACAACACTTCGCGCCAGAATTGCTGTTACATCTCGGATTGCTATTTGCAACAGTTGATAGGTTTCTGTTGCTGTCCTTTTGTTTTCATAAAATGTAATCACTCTCTTTCTTCTGTGCTCTCGGACATCATAAAAATAACACACGACAAAACTGCACACCACGAACGACTGAAGCAATGGAACTTGTAACCGCGCACTGACTCCTACAAACATGTTTATCTCAGCAGTGTCGCTGGGCAATGCGATATCATATGAACTAAGTCTCGATGCTATTCGATCAGACCTCCTAAATCGAGTAATACTAAAGGCTGAACAATATGAGCTTATAGTCCGATAATCTTCTTCTTCTTCTTCTTCTTGGTAATATACATTCAGCAACATAGCAGAAAGTAAATGAAATATTACTTTAAATGTATCATTATTCCGGGATAATCATTTAATTTTGTAGGCGTAGGGGGGAGGAGGGCTGCATAGTTGACCTTTACAGTTTGCAAATAGTCTGTGAAGATTGAGTTTGCTTCACGTATAAGGGCATATTCAACTAAAAGATCTTAAATATTCTGTATAAATATTAGGTTATAAAATGTTATTAGAGAGAATGGGTGGAGTTCTCATTGCCGTGGGGAATTTCGTATGAAGGTCCATATTGCGGTTTTGTGGGTTATGGCCCTGTGTGGTCTAGTATGTTTATACCAACGTTTCGGAGGTATATGCTGCCGAAATCTTCAGGGTAGAGGTACACCAAGTTATGAATGTGGGTGGTTATACTGACACAGGGGACAGGAGTAGACAATCTTACCCAGGGATAGATGAAACGGGGTCCCAGATGAGCCAGTGGGGACTGAAAAAAGCTGCTACTCAAGCACAGTAGGAAAGAATGTAACAAAAGGTTCCTCATTGGGCCATGAGCAGAGGAAAGCCAAATTTCTTTAATCTACCCTGATGATGGAGGCATTATGTTCCTAAGAATAACTGGTGCCCACATACCAGATGACTACAACATGAATCTCCAAAACCATGAACATCTCGGATGTCATAAATCAGTCTTTCATGTGCCACATTCTGACAACCTGTCATAATTCTACAATAACCTTTTGTAGGAGGTGAATACTGTCAGATGCATGGAAATACCAGCCAAGTTAATAATACGATATATGACCGACCTACCTGTAAGCTCTAAATATTAGAACAAAATGTAAAAATCTGTATTTAATTTTACATCACAGCCTCCTAACTTAAAAATGTGGTATGACCCAAACTTCCTTGCCTATTGTCTACCAACATTATGCAGGAACAAACTGTCAAAAATGGATCTTCATAGCTGAAGATTCCACTTTTTTAATGTAGCCCAAAGATTCACATGCATATGTAAATGGAAAGTTATGCATACACACATAAAAAATTACTGCTTCATTACATTTCATTGCAATTAGAAAAAAGTGGATAATAAAGTAAAAGTAAAGGCATACCTTATTTCCTCAAAATCCCATGTGTAACTTTCGACCTCTGCAGGGCAGAAACAAATGTGGTAGGACATCCATAACTTCATGTTTACCCATTTTATATCCTTAGAATAATTTAATATTATGACAAAGTGTGAATTTTTAAATGCATTTTCATTTACATAACATATGTTACAGTTTGCTGTATCTACATTTGCTGATAAACAACAAAAAATGGCTGAAATGAAAATCAGATAAACTGCTTGACCACTATTTTAATTTAATGTGACAAAATAATATGCATAAGAAAACCAATCACCAAGCTATACTTATCATCAGTAAAACTTAAACTAAACAGAGGAGTGGTTTAATATTTTTTTGTATTTAAAATTTTTCTTCAAATTTAAACTGTACATATTATTTATACAAATATTTTACAATTTAAAAAAGTATTGAAATATGACGTTATCACCTACATACACACTGACATTTAAATACTTTGATTATATCTCAGTTTCTACTCACCTAATTCCATGTTCAATTTGATATGAAAAACAAAATATATAATTTTTAACAAGAAATATAGTACAGAGTGGGGCACAGAAACTTCCTTTTTTTGAAGGTGAATAAAAGAAAAATTATTGCTGATAGACAAAATTTATGTTTACTAATGAAAGAACATACTTTAAAGTTTTAAATCCATGTAGTTTTAAACAAAATGTCTTGAAGGTGGTGGCCACCATTCTCTATGCACTGATGCAACCGTTTTCTGAAGTTCCCCTCTGCACGTTCCAACATGTGCACCGGAATTTGGGCTACTTCCTGCCAAATAATATTCTTCAGCTGAAGCAGGTTTGTGGGGTGATGTTTAAACACCTCTGGCTTGAGGTATCCCCATAGAACAAATTACAGGGCGTTAGATCAGGTGAGTGCGCTGCCCACGGGATGTCACCTCGAAGCGAGAAGAGCCGTCCGGGGAACCTTGCCCTCAAAACTGGCATCGAAGCTCAGGCTGTGTGACCCGTGGCACCATCCTGTTGGAACCAGACATTTCCTAGATGCATTTCTTCAAGAGATGGTTCGAAAAAGTTTTTAATCATGTCCACATACCGCTGTGAATTGACAGTAACTGCATGATTGTCATCTTCAAAAAAATAAGGGGCAATAACTCCAACTCTCAACAACGCACACCGTACTGTAACCTTATCACTGTGAAGAGGCCTCTCATGGACCTCTCTGGGATTGTTACCACTCCAATGGTGCATATTCTGCTTGTTGACATATCTGGATAGGTGAAAATGTGCCTCATCACTAAAGAAAACAAGTGTGTCAGGGGGTAAAATTTCCAATAACGTTTCACGTGCCATTATTCGGTTCTGGAAATCACGTGGTGACAATTCTTGCACAACAACCATCTTATAGGGATGGAAATGAAGATATTCGTGAAGAATTCGGCGCATTGAACGACTGGATGTCTAGGGCGACTGCATGTTTGCGAGTGGAGCGTCTTGGAGATCTCAAAATTGACTGTCAAACTGCCTCCACATTTTCTGGCATCACAACGGTCCATTGTCATCCTGATAATTTTTTCACCACACTCCCAGTTGTCCTAAAGTTCTCTACCCACAAAACAATCGATTTCCGGTCGGGAACCAGACCTCTGGGCTTAATTCCGAAGTGAGTACGGAACACACACTGCACCGCTACGTAGGAACGGTTGTTCGAAAAATAGGCTTCGACAACAAATGCACACTGCTCACTCGTCCACCTCATGTTTCCTACTGAGGGGTATTAGACAGAAACTTCTGCGACTGCTGCGTTCGCCAAGCCTATCCCCACTTTTCTTTGGCCTCCCCTCCATTCACAATGCGTCTTCACAAAAAGGAAGTTTCTGCACCCCACCCTATATTATGTATAAGCTTTTAGTAAATAGCTGTCTTCATTTGAAAATAAAATACTGTGAAGCACTAACATTTATTTACTGTTAAGATTTGTACACAAATAAAAATGAGCACTTTAAAACACTTTCAATGTCCATAGCTAGAGAAAGATGTAAAAACTTTCCGAGAAAACTTCATAATAACCTGTACACATGAATGAAACTAAAACTGTAGACAAACAAAGCAAACACAGACACCAGAGGTGGTATATCACATAATCATAAAAATTCATGAACTAAAACAGAATCAGAGGAAGAAAACTGAACTGTCTATTTATGACCACACATTGCAGACTATTTTCAATATTTGCACCAGTTGATATTCAGCTAGATTCAAATGAAGATAAAAATAATAGACATAATATTTCTGCTCATGTCGAACAAGGTTTTCAAATGATTAACTCCAGTCCATGCCATCACAGTGCTTCACCTGCCTGTGTACATCACACAAATAGCATGTCATGTGCTTACAATGAAGAATTATTAATCCCTCAAACATTGCTTGGATAAGCAAGACTAACCCTTTCCATGCTGTTTATAATTAAATAAACCATTTTCCATTTTGTATTTCCATGCCAATAATACACAATTATATTTATATGTTCTTGAATAACACTATTAGGAAAACAGTAAATTTGGATTTTGTTCTTGGTTTTACTATTACTCATCAAATGAACTGAACATGACAGCATGAAAATCTGTAATGATAAAAACAAACTTATGACCAATTCTGTCACCTTAATTGATTTTCAAATTCTCTGTTACGTCAACTATCATCCATTAATGCCAATGTTATCTGTTGTTATTATCCCTAAAACCATAAAACTTATGGAAAACATATTCTGGGCACAAAGTGTGCTTTCATTTTTCTCTGTACCACTTATTTGAGACATTCCTCACTTCAAAAAGATTAGTTAAGTTATGCTTCAGATGGGTGTAGAGAAGTGTATAGATCCTATTTTAAAGTGTTTCTTCTTGTCCAGTTATATCCAAACTTGGAATTTGACAACTGTTAGTGTAACTCTCCAATATCAATTTTCATGAAAATCTGTTCAGTGGTTCTGAAGTTGTTACAATGGGACAGACAGACAGGGTAAGCTAACAGGCACATGTTTGCAACGTCTGTTGCAATGTCATCAATACTGAAGATCACAACTAATGGCATATTAAATATCTTGCTATAGAGTCTGATTTACTATTTCATTCTTTAAAACTGTTAATGATTCAACAAGATGTAAACATGGGGCACAATTCTGGTATAGAATTTCTTTATTAAGAATACTGGGAAGAAAGCAGCCTCAAAAGACTGAAGTAAAAACGACTTTTAATAACTATGATAGTCCATGACAGGTACAATGTAAAAAAACTGTAGCATGAAAGTTAGGTTAACTCATCTGTACCCGATAATATAAATCAATTAAAAAACAAATTATACTGAGATTGGGCTTTAGATTTAAAAGGACTGCATGCCTGGACTAAAATGACTGACTTACACAATTTCAATTAAATCTCATTCAAATTTTATACAAAATTCCCATAATATAGGCAAAATATGATGATATAATTTTACATTACCTCAGCAATTTAGTTTTATGTGGTAGTTGGTGAAGCACTGAAAACAGGGGCAAACATCCCAATTAGCATCACACAATGATTACTGCCTTCTTGGATATGATGCCTTGCTTTGCTCAGAACGCTGATGACAGTATTTCCCCCCCCCCAATTTCAGCCCTCTTTCCATACTCAGTTAACTCTACTACCTCGAAGATGAAGCCAGCACGTTTGTCCAAAATGCTGCCAAAAACCTATAAGACTATACAGTATCACATCCCGGAAGACAGTAATTTTCATAATTCCTGTCGTGAGAACTGAGGTTCTCACAAACTACATACACTGCCTTCTTGTTTACGCATTCATTTCTGTCCTCATAGTTCAGTGTTTTATAACTTAAATTTTTCATAGCTGACTGAAATACATATAACACAACACTAAAAGCTAAATTGCACTTCACACTGAGAGCACCACCACTCAAGACTGATACATAAAATTTTCAAAGCCAGGAAATCATATTAATATTATATACTGAGCTGACTTATGGTGCAAAATTAATTTGTGCACTGACACTTTTTAACAGATGGTGTAAATTTATAGTTGCACAAGGATATTATTTTAAAATTACCCTGGACATGGTTTTTCTTGATTAGAACAACCCACTCCCTTATGTTATTTACATTCTACGAAAGAATGAGTCAGTATACGTGTATACTGAAATAAGTTCATGAAGTGGAATATACAATTAATGAGACTCCATGAAGGATCTGGCCCAGGGCAGTGTGCCATGGCACCCAGACTGAAGATGAAAATATGGCTCACAAGACTGAAGTGGCTCTCATAATTTAAGTAACTGTCCTGTGAAGGTATTCTACATATGAATGGTCCTTACAAAGAGCAACAACAGATACTGATCAATTTCTGATCTGCACTTTGTCTGGTCACACCACCAAACATAATTTTGTCTCAAAACTGAACTCTTATACATCTATGCATGAGATCCATATTTAGGGTTAAAGTGTCAAAATCAAACTAGCAATGATTCTGAATTAAGTTTTCTGATCACCATTTACTGATGAATTTTCATGAGACTATCTATTTAACTGATTCAAAATGCCAGGGGTCAACTCAGGAACTTAAAGTCTAGTGCCAATACCATTGTCCCTAATACACTGATGATGAAGACATGAATCATAATACAAATCATGCACGCTACTTCATGATTCAGAGAGCTTCAGAATTCTCTACTTTACCCTGTAACCTCTCTCTTCATCCCTTTCACCCCCCCTGCCCAAGAACAAATACACAGCAAATGGGGCACACAAAAATGGGAGGTGGGGGATCCAAGGGATTCAGTAAAGGTTTGTTTCCTATATTTCTCATGCAGCTTCACTTGGCCTTCACATTTCTTTCTAAAGAATCATACTACATTTTTTCCCACAAATTCCCTTAGGTACATAAACAGTTTTTGTTTCAAATATTCATCCAGAAGTCTTTTATTTGGAATTTGGAAGTCAATTTTTGTATAGACATAATATTATATAGGATGGTTCAGTTCCCAAGCCAACACAAAATTGCTCATTTAACTCATAATCAAGCTGATAGAGCACATTTAGAATCAGTAATAGCTGAATGCGATACTGCCTTTCTTTTGTGGGTTTATTTACCAATGCCTTCAGTGTCTAGACTATACAGCATCAGATGGTAGGATAACTGATGAATTGGAACAGAGCTGCAAGGAAGTGGTCACAACTTCTGGAGGGACTAAAAAAAATGTCAGGATGGACAGTGTCACACTTGAAATTCAAACCAAGCATCTCCTGAACCTCTAGACCAGCCTGTTCAGTGCAATACTGCTGTAATAATAAAATTAAAAGAAACTTAACACTTATTATTGTTTACTTTAATGCTAGCAATGTCTTGTTTACTTTCTTCTGGAAGAGCAGTTTTATTTATGGAAGGATAAGGAGGTAAATGTATACATTTCTGGATATCTGATCACAGAACATTGCATGAAATGTACACACTAAGCTCCTTGCCACAAGCACTTTGTATACAGAAATCTGGTTTCATATAACCAAACTATTTAAACATTAAAGTAGGTAACTGTGTAGTTGCTAGTAAAGTGGATGTTTATAAATTGGAGACTTCTTGTATGACATATAATCCTGACTCATTTTACTGAGGAACATGATTAGCTGAACTGATCAGGCTTATGCATGTACAGCAGCTTGCAAACACAGAAAGGACTGTTAAATTAAAACACCACATAACAGTGTTACAAGTGTATGTAACATACACACTGAAATATTCTCAGGCTATTAGCTGTATCTTAGTTGAACTTGTAATCAACATTTTTTAGACTTTCTGTCCCCTGTTTTTATACATACTAGTAGATATGTATTTATTTAGACATTTGATTAAAATGTTGTTATGGATTGAGAAAAGAACCATATTGTCTGTTGAGAATGTATACACAGACATTGTCCTTCACACAAGAAACATGGCAAAAAAAAAACTTCCAGCATACACAACAAATTGTAACAATATATAACAAAATGAACACATCTTAGTTATTTATAAAATGTACAACAATGTTAACACAAACTTATGTGTAACCCAACCAACAATATATAGTAGATATCGATATTTATGTATAACCTGATCTTGACTTTGCAAACTTTCAAATTAAAATAATAATCACAGAATATAGCTGCAAATATGTACTTCATCTTCTTCAATACTGGTAATCATCACTGTGTAAAATTTTGAAGTTTTAATTACATCATACATTATGTAGAGGCTTGATTACAGAATGTTTATTTGTAAAGTCAAACTGAAAGAGAGAGTGGTGTTTGTTAAAAATGATACTGTACTTATCCTGCATAAAAGTAAATGAAAGAATATGTTCCTAATGCTTGCAGATACCAACAAGATGGTCATCCAATGTTATGTAGTGTACACTTAGCAACCTTAATTATAAACATTATTAAGGAAAATTAAATACAGCATTCTGAGTACATGAAATATTGTCACGTGTTGGGTATGTCACGCGACAAATAAATTCACGTGGGTCTCGGATTCAGCAAATCTTTATTGGACACTCACACTTCTACACCATACAATCGTTATCACTTCAATTGTACTCTGTGGCGGCTATCTTCCAACTGTCTTGTATGAGGGCTGTGTTCCATGAAGGCTAATTAATTCTGTGTTGTTGTAGCTCTGTCGCTCTCAGCTTATGTAGGTGTTCTGCGGACCGGATATGAGACACCATTCGCCAAGGTTTGATCTCACTTGTTCAGCAATCCGTTACTTCGGGAATGGTCTCTATAGATTACAGCGGTAACATGTTTCGTCTCATCCGTTGGTACTCAACGGCCGTCTATTGCTCATCTCTGGGGAAACGCGTTCGTTGTTTCGGCACTGTCTACGCAGTGGCCCACTGTTATTGCATTGCCATGGAGTTATCTACTTCAAACACGTTACAATATTTTGGTCATAATAAATTACGTTTTACTATATACTGTGATATTAATTTTGATATTGCTGTATATTACAGACACTTACACAACTGAACAGGAGAATTTCAGTTTATATGATAGATTTCCCACTACCCTAAACTGTTTCCACATCTCCCTCATAATCACCTTACTCCTAATAATATCTGCTATGTTCTTGCATGATCTTTATTTCCTCCCTTTGAACAGCATAATTATTTTGTTTAATACCAAATGTTCAGCCACACTGGAAAATTCTTCATGACCATCACATAGCATATCGAAAAGCATTCTAATTTCCAATAATGACATAATTTTCATCATTTTGGTAACTTCATGTTGACTACCAAGAGATTCAGGAACTTAAGTATGTGAAAGAATTTGATAATCTGTCGTGGTCTTGATCAGTTTATACAGAAAGGCTCAAAATACTGCATTACTTTACAGTCATGTCAGCAATAGGTGACAGTATGTGGAAGCAGAGGTCATGGTATCTGTTTCCTCCCCAACAGTTCAGTCATGAATAAAAGCATGCAAATGATTAACAGCTTCAAATACAATATACTTGTTAATAAGATCTAAAAGTTTGTGACGATGGAATATTGCTACAAGTATTGTTTTTGGACATTATCCACTGTCTTATCTATCTTTTAAATAAAGGTCCTGTTTCTTTTTCAAAACACGTTTCGGAGACTGGATTCTGTCCCCGTCCTCAGGTAAAACCTACTCAGTTGGGCCCAATAGGACTCAATAGGCTACCTTTATCTATTGGACTCAACTGAGCAGGTTTTGCCTTAAGACGGGGACAGAATCCAGTCTCTGAAACGTTGTGTTTTGAAAAAGAACAGTAGGGATTTTTAAAAAATAGACAAGACGATGGATAATGTTCAAAAACATAATACTTGTAGCAATATGCCTGTTGCTGTTCCGTCACGTAATCTTGTCCAGGTTGCTCTCTGCCACTGTCATGTAGTCTAACTTCTGCATTACTTTTGTTATGAGGCACATGAGCATTGCTGTCACTATTCAGCACCAGTTCTTCCTCCTCAAAGCTCACTTCGTGTGTGAGATTTTAAGCTTTCATGGTGACTGAGTGTAAAGAAGTGTTCATTGGCTGATTACCTAGGCCAGTATGGAACGAATTTCCAACATTTCAGTGGCTGAATTCCGGACAAGACATCGTTGCACTTGATCGGTATCTTCAAATTTGTTACTGTCATTCCCAAATATCTGAACTGTGCCACATTTTCGAAGGATCTGTTAGCTATCTTTATGTCACGATTTGCAACATATACTTAGTTTTCTCTGCATTTACTTCTAGACCAACTGCCTTAATAGTATCAAGTAAAGTTTCTGTGTTTTTCTTTATGGTATCTATGTTATCTCCCAGTAAATTCACATCTTCTGCATAGACCAACAGCTGATGTGTCCTGTTTAACTTCAGTCCCACCTGGTTTTCCTGGACCTTCCTAATGGCATATTTTATAGCAAAGTTGAGAAGCAGTTGAGATAAAGCATGTCCTTGTTTTAGATCATTTTGGATAGGAAAATTTTAGACAAATGATTACCTACAGAGAATTCACAGAGCGTAAAACTGTTTCAGCGCAGTTAGAATAAAGGTTACATATGTATGACATATTGCTTCTGTCTCTCACAAATCTGTTACCTATCAAATGCCAGCGAATACCTCATGGGTCTTCAGTTCTGAACACTGGAATATTAATGAGAATGAAGCAAATGAATCAGGAATGAGCAAACACGTATATGTCAAAGCAATGAAATGAGAAACCTGCATGTTCAGATTTCAGGAGACTGGATGTTTCATCTATTACTTATGTAGCTTTGATTTTATATCTGATTATACAGTATGAAGAATGCAAATTATGAATCAAAATTTCAGTTGCTCTCTATAATGCAATGTCTGTGAAAAAAGACTTGTTCCTACTTCTCCTCTAGCCAAACATACAGTACCTGACCATTTACACTCAAGTTTAGTACATGAAATTACACGAATAGATAATCCTAAACCAACTGTAATCAAGCCTCTTGATTTTGAAAAATAAAGTAGGTAATGTAATTACAAACCATTAGTGAAATCCCATGACTTTGGTTGCTATGGAAGAACAGACTTTATGTGTGGTCCAGTACTCAACCTGGTGCAGTATCATATAGAGTACAATAACAGTTAAAAAGGCACAAACTCATGGTCAAGGTGGTGATGGGCAAGTCTGTTCAGTTTCGACTAGATGTGGAATTGAGGGCTCGGATTCTGCCCTCTTCCTTGCAAAGTCTTCATTTGCAAATGAAGATGAGATCTCCTGAGAGAAGGACTCTTTGGCTTCACTATCAATATTAGCATGAATATTGGGCACACTTCTTGTCATACAGTCATCCATGTCTGCTTTCCCAGACAATTCCTTATCTTCTTCTGCCTCTTCCTCTGCCTTTAGAAGCTCTTCATTGAGACAAGCATTATTGATACTCACTGCACTGTTGGAGAAGATGGCCGCAGGACCAAGGGCACAGTCTGGAGGCTGTTTATTCTCGTCAGACAAAGGCACCAGATCGACTGTGACAGAGCGCTGGAGGGGGGATCCAAAGCTGGACACATGTGCTGGGCTGGTGGTCTGGTCACGCATATCCTTGCTGAGGTCACGCACCAAAGAGGATGCAGGATGGTGTGGTCGGCCATTGACAGGACTTGTAGCACGGCTCCATGCAGGACTTGCAGCAGCTGCAGCCTTGTCTTGCTGGTGCTGAGAAATGAGATCGCATGCCTTGCCAAGTATCACCACGCTGTTGAGGATGCGGAATGAAGCAAGACACAGATACGAGATAATGAGCAGAACTATAGCTGCAGGTCCGTCCAGATGCAACGCATGGCACAGCACCCGCACCATCACCACGCCCAAAGGAAGTGGTATGAATCCCATGCGACGTGCTACCAGATCAGAATGGTCAGAAAATGCCTACAACAGAAAGGGGATGAATAGTGATGCCATCCACTGCATTTTGTATTAAAATGTAATGCTTAAATCCAAAAATATCCACTATTCTTCTCAAGCAGCGTATTACAGGTTTCCTCTGTTTTCTTTCAGTTTCATTAGAGAATTTCTTTAGCAAAGGCCAGTAAGTGGATGGGCTACCAAATGAATCAGCTAAAATATCTCACCAACCAATAAATACCAATGTCCAATGATACTACCTGAGAAATCAACAGAAAGAAATTCTCTGTTTTTAATGCCACCCCCACAAGGCTAAAATAGGTATTATATTGAAACTCTTCAATCCAGTTCAAATCCCCAGAAACTACCCTCTAAGTTCTATTTTAATGTTAATCTTCCATTTATATCTTCAAGCTTCCTAGGTGTTCATCTTTGGAGGAGGTTTCCTAACAAGAACATGGTATGCATGTCATGTTTCCCCTATCCATGCTTGAAGTCACATCCACTGCAAGCTCCTTGAGTAAATCATGAAGCTCTCCACTATGTCATTTTTTCTCTTCCCCTAGAGTGAAGAATTTAGAAACTCAAAGCACTTATAACCAGAACAGTCATGTGACAGAACATGTCACTGGATTTCATTCTGAAGGCTTCAGACAATGCTATATAACACTTGAAATTACTGACCTTTGGATTTGATCCCTTGTCCAGATCCAGTTTCCAAAATGCTGTGTTCTTTGGTGTTTTTATAGGCCAGTAATTCTGAATGTCGCTGGAAATTTTAGTACTTCATTCATATCATCACCATGTTACTGACAAGAAACAACACGATACTCACATGTTTCTGTCGCGTCTGGGCCATGTCGTAAGCCAGACTGATGGTATAGTCACAATATACATCCACTGGTAACTCATTGAAACGTGTAATGAAGGCATGTTTGATCCAATCCACTAACACTTCAGCAAACAGCACCATCAGGCAGTCTGGTATCAAAACCCAGAACCTCTCTACAACAGAGACACAATGTAACTCATTATGTCACTAACACACACACAAGGGATAAAGTAGCCAGGGTAAGAATCTCACCCTTCACCTCCATCTAGTGCTGAGATAAAAATGCAGCAAACTATACCTCCACTCTGCTATACCTCTTCACAGCATGGTGCTTAACTATGTACAGGACCAACTCTTTCTTTAAATTCCTGAAAATGGACTAAATCTTTAGAAATCCTTTTTACTAAAGCAAAAGATGAACACCTCTAATAAGAGAGTTGTTCTACAAAATCATTCCATTTGTGGACACTCATACCCACATTTGTTATTGCTTTCAAATTTTAGATTTTAATATAGACACCCCCCCCCCTTAAAATCTTTTAACTGCTTTCAGTTTTATGTGGAACATAAACGTATGTACTATCAGATGCAACTGGAGATCTATGGGCACATAGTGTCTGTAGATATATATTAACAATTTCACCATTTTCAGAGTTCCAAGCATGTACCTTCCTTCCACGAGTATTCCTTCATGGTCTGCAACACCACAATGAAGAGCAACACGAACAGATGGAAACGTTCCCTCACATCGCTGCATGACACTTGGAATAAGTTATTCTTGTCAAATTTCTTGAACACACTTCCTTTCAGCTCTACAAACTGAAAAAATTTGGTTAACCGTCTGAATCATAAATTTCATCTAGTATAAAAATTCAGTTACTACCACACAGTAAACACATATTGTTTCCATTCTGTACATATATTACTGTCTTAACTGCAATGTTTGTTTTTTGTCTCATATAGATCTTATCATAACTTGTACCCTTCTCCAAGTATAATTAGAATGATCAAGTCAAGGATGATGAGGTGGGCAGGGCATGTAGCACGAATAGGGGAGAAAAGGAATGCATATAGGATACTGGTGGGAAAGCCAGAAGGAAAGAGACCACCGGGAAGACCAAGGTGTAGGTGGGTGAACAATATTAAAATGGATCTTAGAGAGACAGAATGGGATGGTATGGATTGGATTGGTCTGGCTCAGGATAGGGACCAGTGGAGGGCTCTTGTGAACATGGTAATGAACCTTCGGGGTCCATAAAATGCTGGGAAATTCTTGAGTAGTTGCAGAATTGGCCGCTCCTCAAGAAGGGCTCAGCTCCATGAGTGAGTAAAATCTTATCTCACTAACACATGTTGTGGCTGTATACAGCCATCATCAGGTATGTGTGAGTCATGCTAAACTTGTTTTACTGTATGCACCATTCTGTCACACTTCTATACGTAACTATTCTTTGATGTCAATTTATGAAAGTTTTGAGGTTTTCACGACGACTTTCTTCAATTTATGAAGTTCATTTTTTAAATTATTTATTGCAGACATAACTGTAATAATAATGCAACAGGATACTTAAGTACAAGAGTGTGTTTCCATTTCAAAGACCATATGGTTGATGCTATTTAAAGAATTAATCACGGTTTATTCTCAAAATCATATGTAACCCATAAATACACTATGTGGTCACTGTGTAGAGCTATTGGATGTTAAAGTTTGTGGTAAAAAAAAAAAGTAAAGCTATCCTTGTACCAGGCAGTGAAGGCCCACAGGGTTGTGAGATGCTGAGGGTCCCAAATTTTCTAGACAATCGGCTCAAAGATGGCGGTAACGTTGTCAGCCTTACGCACCGGCCATGCTTTACTCCCCAGGAAAATCATTTAATTAATTCCTGGCACTCATTTCTGTTACAGGCTGAGTTGACCCCAGGGCCATAGTGTGGCTGGAACAATTAGGTCAATTGAAAAAACTTCAATGACCTCATCAGGACTTGAACCCGTGACCTTCCTGCTTGTAGCATAGCCCCTCAACCAATGTGGTACATATTATAATATTATAACCACTGTAACTTAATGATTAAAGCCTTACTCCTTCCTATAACAATACCTGTAAAATTCTGATAAAGTTAAGTACAGTGACAGTATGATTCAAAATGCAATTAATTTCAAAATATCACTAAATTGGCTTAAAGTACTCACATTGTTGGACATCATGATAGTTAACAGGGCTTTATTGTTCGAATTGATAGCAACATTTAGAGTCGTTGCTTGAAAAAGCACCAATACGCTGTGCAAGACTAAGACATTATTAAGGATCACAACTGTATTACATGACAGATACAAAAACTGCACTGAAACCTTCATCTATGGTTTCTTTAGGAGCAATGGGCTTCAACACTTAAGTGAGAAAAATCTTAAAATTGAAGTAGTATTACAAGATCATTGCCCTACAATCACTGAAATTGAACAATGTATCAGGGAAAACCTTAAATGAAGATAAATCAAATGGAGGTATCACTGTAGTACTTGGCATACAACATTCTTAAATCCATTTTTTTTAATTCGCTTAGTGGGGGTGTGGAGTCCAGCTGGGTCAACTCGGCACAGTGGCCACTGATTGGCCTTTTGTAGCCTGCCCCAGGTAATTATGATGATGGAGAATTTGGTGGAATGAAGATTGGCAGGGGAAACCGAAGTACTCGGAGAAAACCTGCCCCAGAGCCACTTTGTCCACCACAAATCCCACTTGACCAGACCCGGGAAAGAACCCGGGCCGCCGCGGTGAGAAGCCAGCGACTAACCACTTGCGCTATGGTGCGGCCACTTCTTAAATCCATAAATATTAGATTAATTTTTCATTTAAAATATAAAATGAACAGATACCAACTTATAAACTTACATAAAAGTATCTCTCATTACGAATAGCAATTATTAATCAGCGGAAAAGAGTAAACAGATTCTTGTAATTGTTAATTAATATTTAAAGTTAACTCTCCAAATAATCGTAGAGAAATTCTGGGGACCCAATCTGGGTCTTTATGACATGGGAAAGTATTTAATCAGAGACACGTGACCTGGAGACAAACTGCAGGAACACAAGGATAGGAGGAGACTGCTATATGACATGACAACCAACAGAACGGACAGCAAATATCTGCTCAACGCAAAAAACTGTGGAGAAACAACAGCCAGCTGTTACTAGGAAGCAGCCTGTAAACAACAGAAGTATGGTGTTTTCTGCACACTCTGTGCCAATGGAATATCTCTTTCCATCACTAAACAACAATAGCACAGCAAAAGAGGAATGGTGTTTTCTATACAGTCCATGCTATGATGTTATAAGCGGGATAAGTTAGGAGTTGCAGTTAGAGAACTGCTGGGGTTCACTCACTGTGCGTTGTTGCTGTGAGAAGCTGGTAGCTGAGGCCAGGGACAGTTTGGGTATGCAGGAGAAGGGAAATGTCCATCATTGAAAGCCACTACCAAGCAACGGCTAATGAAGACTGTAACAGCCTCAGAAGACCTATTGTGTCCTATAGTGATTTGTGAAGCGTGTAGAACAGTGAAAGCATAATCCTTACTTGTAGATATGAGTTGGAAGAATTCAATAAATCCAATTACCAATTCAAACCCCTTCTACACTCACTGGAATTGTGACAATAGATGCAAATTTACTGTATACAGGGTGGGGTGCAGAAACTTCCTTTTTGTGAAGATGCATTGTGAAGAGAGGGGAGGTCGCAGAAAAGTACTTCAGAAAACGGTTGCATCAGTGCATAGAGAACCTTCAAGATATTTTGTTTAAAACTACATGATTTAAAACTTTAGAGTATGTTCTTTCATTAGCTAAACATAAATTTTGTCTATCAGCAATAATTTTTCTTTTATTCGCCTTCAAAAAAAGGAAGTTTCTGTGCCCCACCCTGTACATGAAGCCAAGTCAGTAAATTTGGTGAAGTTATATACAATTCCAAACAGTTTATTTTCAGTAACATAAATGCAGCAGTACTCTGCAAAGAGAAAGAAATAGTTTTGGTAGAGTGTAAAGCATTACTGTATAATTAGAATGATCAAGTGAAGGAGGATGAGGTAGGCTGGGCATGTAGAATACATGGGGAACAAGAGGAATGCATATAGGATTTCAGTGGGAAAGCCAGAAGGGAAGATATGACCAGGGCCCAGATTTTGATGACATGTCACTTTTTCCTTGTATCCTATGCGATGCTCTTAAATATATAAATCTCGGATATGAACTGCTGGTTACAGAATTGTAAATTTTGTAGGTAATTTTTTGTCATTTTTGACATTTTTAGGTTTAAAGTCATTTTTTCATTTTGGGGGTAATTTTTTGGTAAATTTTTGGACTTTTAAGGGTATTTCTTGTCATTTTTGGCCATTTTAGGGAATATTTCTTCATATGTTTTCTGAAATGTGAATAACATGGAAGTGAAGTGTTCTTTCTTTTCTCCTATAGGTCATTCTTCTTGATTTTTTTGGTAATTTTTTTAATATTTTCAGGTCATCAAAATCCAGGCCCTGCATATTACATTTTTGGGTCATATTTTAAGTCATTTTTCTAGATTTTTTCAGTCATTTTTTAAATATTTTCAGGTCATCAAAATCTGGGCCCTGGATATGACTAGGAAGAATTAGATGTAGGTGGCAGGATAATATTAAAATGGATCTTAGAGAGCTAGGATGGGGTGGTATAAACTGGATTGATTTGGCTTGGCAAAGGGACCAGTGGAAGGCCATTGTGCACACAGCAATGAACCTCTGGATTCCACAAAATGTTGGGAAATTCTTGAGTAGCTGAGCCAATGGCACATTTCAGGAAGGACCCATCTACATGGAGGTCGTTGATTAGTCAGTCAGTCAGTGAGTTAATAAAGCATTATTTACACACTATAGTTTTAGGACATGCATCATCCCTGAAGAACACTTTCATGTAGTGGGTGACAAAGAAAAGCCTAACAAGTTAATAGACATACTCCTAGTGTAACAAGTCTGGCATATGCCCTTCCATCTGCTGTACTGGGCATAAAACATATTGTGACATGTTGCGCAATGGAGGACACTCCCTCCCTACCCAGCAGTGATGTGGCAGCTCTGGCCACGGTCACGTAATAGGCAAGTCAACACCCGCCCCCTCCCCCGCGGTGACATAACACGCAACGCCGCAATTGCTACGTAACCATTACATAACAGGCAAACACTGCAACTATATAAGGGAACTACACAGCCGCCAGAGAACGTTGTTGTAGTCAGCAGTGAACGAGTTAAAAGTATATCAGCCGCTGAAGCGAGTTCTCAAGGCAGCAGCCTATGAGTTGAGTTGGAATATACTTGTAGCAGCCGTCGTGGAAAGAAGAACCGGACGCGTGTGTGATAATCAGTGGTAGTTTGTGATAACTGAGTAATAATTGGGAGTGTGTGATACAGTGACACTTATATAGCTCCCATACTGTGAATACCTGTAGACTACCGAAGATAGAGTGAACAGATTATTGCGAATAGGGTTATAAAGTGTGCAACCATGCAACAGTGTTGTAATTAATTGTAGCCGATACTTGTAGGTTGTTAAATAAACCAATTAACAATCCGAATGGCGTCTTCAGTGGCAAAACACGTTACAATATGTTTCATTTATGGTGGGTTACTTAGTCACACTGTCAGCATCTAGGCTATATAGTGTTAGATGGTGGGATAATTGATGGATGATAAACTGGAAAGGACCTGAAGGAAATGTTCATGGCCTGATTCACATACTATTTTGGCATTTGCATGGAGAGACTGAGAAAACCCATGAAAAGCCAGAGTGAAGACAGCTAGTGTCCCACGCGAAATTCAAACAAAGCATCTCTGGAACATGAGTCTATAGCATTCCTTCTACACCAAGCTATTCAGTATGTTTCATTTTTCTCTACAACTTTTGCTGAAAATGTTTTTCACTCATATTATGCAAGTTATGCTTAAGATGCATGCAGAAATGTGAGATGTCTATCGCTGTTGCCAGATCTTAACAAAAACTAGAATGTATAAAAAAGTTTCAGTAAAACTCTCCAGTGCCAGATTTCATGATCCATTATACACAGACATACAAACAAAGCTAACAGGAAAATGTCTGCAAATTTTTATTGCAGACATGTCAAAACAAAGATCTTGAAAAAACAGTTAATATTTTTGACATTCAGACCCTGCAATGCAGTAGCCTAAGCCAATGAGGCAATTACCGAATATCAAAGGATACAGACATATGTAACAGCAAAGAACAGATGCGGAATTACTCCAAGATGCTCTCTTCTGTTATCTCGCGGTTCTGTAGCTGTCCAGAACAGAGCATCTATTGTGTCCTGTCCAAATGCAGAGAACAACCGATCGCCTACCTAGAAGAGGGAAGAAAATTTAAACTATGACATAAATAGATGATCACAATTTGTACTGTAATGTTTCCAAGAACTTTCTTTCTTAGAAATTTTTGTACTGGTATTCTCTTCAGTGCTCCTGCTCACTCCCTTTTATTAACTATGACACTACACTATCAGACATATCACATACAATCACAGTCTAGTTGTCCCTGTGCTTAACTAATTAAGCGCTATGCCATGAAGGTGTATGGGGGAGTGGATGTATAGATCCACATTTTCTTGACCTTGGCAGCAGTTGGAAGTGAGTGGTCAGCTTCAGGCCCCGACCGCTTTACCCCCCGTTACCCACTGTATGGGAGGTTGGGTAAACCCCGGAGCCAGTCTGGACGACATGGAGAAGTGAAAATTCTTGACCCTACCAGGACTCGAACTCCGACCCCTTGATTGTCCAGCCCGTAGCCAGTCGATATACCAACTACACTATCCCAGCTCCCAATAACAGCGCAGTAGATCTCAAGTAGTTTGTGATCCTACACTTCAATTTTGATTAAAGTACTGTACTATAATCTGTTGTTCTAAATAGTACTCAATGTGAATAGACAAATTTCTTATGAAACATTGATTCTAGAAACATGTAATCCATATAATGAAATAAATATATCTAGATAGTAACTTACACTTATTCCTATTTTAACCTCTATCATGTGGGAAGAGCACTTGTATTTCATGCTATTGCAGTGCTGGTGGCCAGATTTTTACTTTATATATATATCATAAAAGAATATAGTGCTTAACCTTCTGAACTCTCACACACACTGTCATTGGAATATTATCCACAGATGTTAAAGGCTAATAACTGACTTCAGTGTCCATTCACTACTAGTCAGCTGCTTAATTTGGTATGCTTGAAAACAGGAGAAAATATGAGAAAATATACCAAAAAAAAACTATGTGACCTGTAGTCTGCAAGCAAACTATACCGAGTGACCGCCGCTTGTTGGCAAAGTTTGTGCCAACTTAAGCGGACAGAGGGTGATGAGTGGTCAGTGCAACAAATCCACATGGCCGTTAATTTCGGTTTTCTAGACCGCAGCTGCTATTTCCATGAAATAGCTCCTCAATTATTCTCACGAGGTTGAGTGGACCGCATTCTAACACTGCACAATAACAGCAAAATTCCTTATAAAGTAAGTCCTGTAATGACCTTTTAGTGCAATTCAAAGTGAGTTGCAGAGATCTGCCAGTTCATAGCAATGGTTCAAATGGATAATTTTTGCTAATTACAGAATGAATAACAGTACAACATTTACACTACTCGCATTTGCTATTCTGTAACTACAGCATATTCTTGGCTTATTTCCATCCACTGCATACACTACTCGGATAGTGGGACTTGAGGTTCTCACAGCAGTGACTATCAAGAGTTTTTGTCTTCTTGGAAATAAGGTTATGTAGTCAAGTGAAAGTTAATCAACATTTCAGGGGAGCATGCTGCTTCCACCTTCAGCATTAGACAGTAAGCCAAGCAAGAAACAAGCATGAAGCATTCAGCAGAGCTTTCAACCCTGAAGATGGAGCGCATATGTTCCTCTGAAAGACTGGACAGACAGACCTCTTCATTATTCAGGTTGCACAATGTTTCTGTCGTGAATATAAAGAAGTAATAACCTTTTTTGGTCCACTCAACTTGTACTGCATTTTTAACATTTGAATATGCACATCCTAACCTCAAGCATATTGTAAAAGATGTACAGCTTAATAACGGACTGGCTCTTGATCAAATGGTACATCATGGATGTATCAATGTAAGACATCATCATGCTGCAAGCTAACAGGATGCAGGCCTTCAACAGGTCACAGATCTCTGCTGGTTTTAAGACACTCTTTGACTTGGATTTCTGCATCCTATAAGAGAAATATTTAATAAATGTACATAACATTACAACCGCTGTTCTTGTTTATTAACCATTCATGAACAAGTGACCATCACCTTACCCAAAACATTCCAGAATCGGTCGACTAATCACTGCCCAAAGTGCCAAAACAAATCTCATTGGTAGGAAGGTGTACACAAACAGAAAAGAGTCTGCACACTGGAAATGAAACATCAAAACCTCACAAACTTCCTCCACATGAAACGAACTGCAGATCAACAACTATGACCTATTAACTCTACACAAATACATCACGCTTCAACTTGCCTGAAAGAAACCATATGCCATGAATTTTTCAACTTCACGTGGAATTTTCATGAAGGAATACACTTTCTCTCTTCGAGCTGAATACCGCTCTTCATCATGTTCCAGCATATAACCACGGGTCAGTTCAACACCAAGAAATGTTAACAGCGATGGCTGTCCCACAGTGTCTGATTCTGCCCCACCTTTGAAGCGAAATAATTCATGAACACGAAATAAATTTTCAGTAATAACATTTAAACATTAATGTCTAATATAAAATACATGGAATTCATTCATTCATTCATTCATTCATTCATTCATGTTTATTCATCCGAATATTACACAGTACAATACAAATTTGAAATAATTATTTAATATCAATTATCGCTAAGTAAAGTTCACATAATTTTTATATCGGCTTCTTCTAACCACACATAAGCGAACCTTAACCTCATAAATTTTGCTTTCATAACATGCCTGCATAAATACTAACCATTATTCTTGTTCACCTCTTCACTTTCTCGTGTCCTATCATCTCTAAGGTCTGCATTCCATAAAGTGCCTTCCACCTTGTTTTCATTATGGTAATGAATGTTTGCTGTTGATCTGAAACGTAGTTTCTTTCCTGGCAACGAACCCGTAACTTCTTCAGCAGACATCGCGAATATAATAATGANGGAAAAAAAAAAAAAAAAAAAAAAAAGAAGAAAAACAGTAGGTAAAATGCGTTACTAGAGAGCAGCAGTATTAGCCCATACACTGCTAAATATTATTCGTGGTGCCATTAGCACCGAAAATGATATCTTATTATGACCGAAAAACAATCATGATAATCGCTGTAATTGGGGTTTAAAAATTTTTAATCATTTTCAGCCTACTTGAGAACATGTCATTTGGTTTGTACGAACATAAACCTACTTACTTCTAGCTAAATCACAGAAGAGTTACGCAGCCATTTGTGCTTACATCCGGATCCGTCCTCTCAACGCTCTCAACTTTCGCAGTACATACGATTTTAACATTAGATCGTTGCCAACATAACACACACACACACACACACACAACCTATTTCGACATTACTACTGATCCCTGCACATTATAAATGGGAGGAGCCAGAATGATTGAGGTCAGCTGTACCCAATCATAATTCGAGTTCTTTGAATATGGAGTTTATGGACTCGTTTCCCTTGAACGTGGTGAGTCTAGATTTTGAACATTAATCATAGCAGTATTACTGTGTGACAGATTTATGTAGAACTCGATCATATAACGAGACAATGAACATTTTTGTGTAGTATGCTAAACTATGTAACGCAGCTATATGATAAATGCAGTTAATAATGTGTGTTGTAGATGTAAATTGTAGCCGTAGATGTCCCCGCCCCATGTTATTTTCGCAGCTGACTAAAATACTATGGCTGACACCATTATATAAAAAGCAATTCCAGAAGATACAGTGTGCTCATTGTTCCCGCGTGTGTCGTTAACAATACGTTTATTCATTCATTCATTAATCCTGTAGATCATGATACAATGATATAGACATTATTAAATTACAACAAGCTTAATACTAAAAAACTATATAAGATATACAACATTTTATACATTATATACTATATACTTCTGCTTATATCAGTAGCCAATATTCGAGAATTCATCGTGCAAATAGTCCTCCGTTGAGTAATAGCACCTCTGAATAAGTAACTTCTTCAATTCCCTTGTGAACTGATTTTTATTTTCTATTTCTTTTATGTTGTTATTCAATTTGTTGTAAAAGATGGGGCTATTATGTGATATTTGTAGTTCTCACGACCCTGATTGTTGATTATTGCCATTTGGCATGTTACGCCGTGTAGTCTGGTCAATCTTCAAGGTAGGAGCAACAGCAATTTCCTTCAGAACTTTAGTAACTAGTAGGACTGTACAATGTCACATCCCACAGGACAGTAATCTTTAAAATAGAATCGATTGGAATAGAATTGCATAGAATCATGGGAGTTAAACTTCCTAACCGCCAGGATCAGTCCTGGTTTACTGTGCATTCCTGTTAGGAACACTGCACCAGATGATGAAGAGAATTAGGAATATCATAACATTGTAATCGAGGTGAAAGTGAAGGAAGATTGCATGGGTTTTATTCTGATAAATTTTGTTTAAAACTGGAGGCTACCCCTAACTGTGTTGTATTTCCAGGTGTTGCTAATTGGTCTGTCTCTTAAAGGCTCATCAGCTGGAGAGACGTGCAGAAGCCCATCTGCTGCGGAAACATTTTGATGAGTCAATTCAGTGCTACCAGAAAGCTGCTGAAAAGCTGAAGGAAGCTGAACAGAGATCAAATGATGAGATGTTCCTTAGATCTGTGAAATATCAACAGGAGCGTTGTATTCAGTTGCAAAAAGTTATAAGGTAAAGTTCTGGAAGTAGATGAACCAAGTTTATAAGACTCAGGTGTTAAAAAACCCTGGATTATAATTTCTTGGTATGCATCTTGACATTTAACTTGACAGCATCACAGAAGTGTCATGGGTTTGAATCCCACTCAGGGAATGATTGGTTGACCATGTTTTTCTGTATTGTGAAATGGTAGAGACTTTGAAATGAACTGAGTTCCACACTAGTGAAACTAAATACATATCCAAAAGAATAAGTGTCTTAGATTAACTTCATGTATAACTTTTAGAAGAAAAAGACATTTGTCTTTCATGTCATGGACACATCCTGTATTAATATATTTCGATTTACAGGCTAAAATAAAAATGAATGACTAGGTGGATTTTAACAGAGACTGAAAAATGATACTGGAAACCTCCTCACCTTGTTAAGGAAACTGTTATTTTTATGTACTCCCATCAGAATGTTTCTAGGTTCATGGATAGGAAGGCTGTATTCTGCTAATAATTTACACTTTCCAGTATGAAGAAAAACCAGTACATAGCAGACAAAACCAGGCAACAGAAAATGATCCAGGTTTTGACAAAGTTGGAACAAACAAGTGACGAGCGAAACCAAGAAGCTAGTAATCTGCAGCGTAAGATATACAGGTCAGTATCTAGAATTTGTTAGTAGTTCAGGTTGCAAATACAGTAGACTCCCAGTTATCTGAAATGGATGGGAAATGAATTTCTCTGGATAATCAGTAAAAGGAATAACATATGTAACTATTTTCTTTTAATTTGCTTAGTGGGGGGGTGGAGTCCAACTGGATCCACTCTGCATGATGACCACTGATTGGCCAATTGTACCTGCCCCAGGTGATTATGATGGAGAATTTGGTGGAATGAAGATTGGCAGGGGATACCGAAGTACTCGGAGAAAACCTGCCCCAGCGCCACTTTGTCCACCACAAACCCCACTTGACCAGACCCGGGATCGAACCCAGGCTGCCGCGGTGGGAAGGAAGCGACTAACTGACGTATGTAACTAAGTTGCGAATTGGGATTTATAAAACAACACATTCATTGATAAGTGTAGTTTACTTTAACACTATTGGTAGAAACATAATGTGGTTTCTGAGAAGCTTCTGCCCTCTTTACTCATATTACATAGAAAAAGCAAACAATGAAAAATAAATTTCCTCCAATTTTGTATTTGTTCTTAAATCGTCTGTACAATACAGTCCATCAGTAATGCAACAGATTGTTCCTTTCTCATTTACTTATAATACAACATATTTCAGCCTTAGATGGCCATCCTCAGGTGTCTTAATATATCAAAATTGCTACACTGCATTAATATTTTAATGGATTTTATTTTATTAACTGCACTACCGCGTGTAAGTTCCGCATATTAACATTGTGTAGCAGTTTTGATATATCAAGACATCTGAGGCCGAAACATGTTGTGTTAAAAGTGTAAGTAGAAGAGAAAGGAACAATTTGTTGCATTATTGATGGACTGTGTGATGTTTTAATATGGCGTAATATGTTTAAATACAGATTTACAAGTATTTGCTCTTTAAAAAAAAACAATTTCATATGAAGGTATCTTTCGACATTGGACACAAGTCAACCTTCTAAATGAAGTCCTCCAAATAATGCACCTCCTGGTTGATTATGAGCCAACTATATTTAAGGCTTGTAACTTACACAAAAGCATGAACTCTCATAAGATCATTGTGTCTTCTCCATTTCAAATATCAAGGCACATCGTATCACCTTTACCCCGCAGGATACTGTTATAATACGAGAGAGATTCGGATAGTAGCCATTTATTTCAGGCAGTTTTAATGTTCATGTTTCATTTCTTAGAAGAACAGTCTGGAAATGTAGTTCTTGTTTCGCAGTCACACATTTGTAATCCCATGTTTTAAAATCCTTAAATAACAGTTTCATCAATTAAAAATTAGGAAAGCCTATTCTAAATATCCAAGTAAGAAAGTTAATTCAGAGTTCATCTGCATGCCATCCTGCAACCTGATATATCCGTTAAGTACATAGATATATGAAATTTGAAGTTTTCACTGTAGTGACTGTAAGGATCACTGTCTTCTGGGATGTAACACTGTAAACTTCTATCAGACTGATTAGTATTACCTCTCAGAAGACAGTGATCTCCATATGTTTGTAAGGTTCTTTCTGTTAACAGCATACTATTTAATACACCATACCCCAAAGGTTGCAGGATCGAATCCTGATGAGGTGCATTTTTTCAATTTACCTAATCCTTCCAGCTGCACTATGGCCCAGGGGTTGACGCAGCCTCTAACAGAAATGAGTACCAGGAATATTCTTAAGGGATAAAGCGTGGCCGGTGTGTCTGACCTCACTACCATCTCTGAGCCGATTTTCTAGAGAAAATGTGGGAACCTTGACATCTCACAACCCTATGGGCCTCCATGGCCTGTTACAGGGATACCTTTACTTATTTACTTTATATGAATTTTGAGTTTATCAGTTTTCTTAGAAATAGTTCATACAGAGCTCACTGAGATTTACTCTGTTAGAGTGCAACTTTATCTTCTGGAAGTGTTGTGTTGCAGAACAATGGAGGAAGCAGATTCACTGTTAGAGCAACTTGTCCGTCTTGGAGGAGAAAGTGATGGAGATGAGCTCGAAAGTGTAAAGAGTGATAATATTGACGGAGCATGTGGTGGCGAAGATACAGTTCAAGTGGATGCAAGTGAACCTGCCAAGTTAGAAGGGAGCAAGTGGCCTAAAGATGATCGCACAGTGATCGAGGAACTGCGCACTCTAAACCACCAGTTGCGTTCATTAGTGGTCCAATTACTAACCCAACTGGATGCTTCCTGTAAAGAAGCTGAAATGTTACGTGAACGCGTGCGTTTCCTAGAGGGAGAACGCCGTGTGAAGTCTGATGATGTGGAGGGTAGGATTTCTGTACCTGTGGTGAGAAAGAGTAGTCTTCATGTTATCACAGATTCCACAGGTGGCTCCTCACCCTTTGTGTATTCACCCTGTAGTGAACTTAGTCCCGATGTTCCAACCGACACACCACACATAGTTACGCGGGAGTTACCTGTCCTTGCACCCTTAGAAATGCCAGACTTTGACTTTGGACAATTCAAAAAGCAAACTTCTGTAGACCATTCGCCCATATCATAGCTGTAGCACACAGCAAGAATTAGATTTGGTTAAACTTTATATACTACAGTGCGGCAGTTTGTCACATTGCCCTTTTCTTGCCAAGGAAGTGCCAATTATTGCTTACTTTGAATATTTTAAAGTGACACAACTTGCTTTGTCAGGAAAAAAAAAGTATGATTCTGAGAACTGACACATTAACCATTTTCATTTATTGGACAGTGCCCCTTGCTTAAAGTGTTTTATTGCAATTTTAAAAAATAGGATTCTGAAATTAGTAATATCTCATTTTAGACTTTTCATAATTGCTATGGGCATATGTTTGGACTTCGACACAGGTTTATGGTTTTGAGACATTACATTTTTAAATAGTAGTATTCCGTTACGGAATGGAAAGTATGGGCATATGTTTGGACTTCGACACAGGTTTATGGTTTTGAGACATTACATTTTTAAATAGTAGTATTCCGTTACGGAATGGAAAGTATGGGCATATGTTTGGACTTCGACACAGGTTTATGGTTTTGAGACATTACATTTTTAAATAGTAGTATTCCGTTACGGAATGGAAAGTGACTCTTAAATGGTAAGCACCATCTAATGTTTGGAGAAACAAAAACTTAAGTGGGATACTTAGGTAGTTTTCTGACCTGCACTTTCCTGGTAGTAGATTAATTCATCGTCTGATTTACCATTTTTAGCAGTAGTGAGATTGGTACAAACCTAAAGAAGAAATTGAAAAAAATATATTGCAAAATGAGCACAGGTAGGACCCCCCAAAAAACTTCTGAAGACTTTTAAAAAGACTAAAGATTTCTTGCTTTATACACACGTAAAAAACTAAACAGGCCTAACAACAGGAATGACGGTAACAGCCTGACTACTGTTAGTTCCTCGGAACTCTAGCCGTTGTAGAGGGGTCATACCATCTCTCGTGGGGGTGGGGGAGGGCAGTCTTATCACCTTGCGTCAGTGTGGGTACTACCAGTTTGGAATGTAGCGTCTTGGAGTGTGGTCAGGTGTATAGTACGTTGTGTTGCTTGTTAATTGGTCTCCATAGGTAATGTTTTCCACTCTGGGAGTAGCTCTGAACATCACCACAGCAAGTGTACAGCTTTGTGTGCTCCACAACAGCATTTACCTTTCTGCACGGCTAAAGTTACGAGGCACCAACTATACTGTCATCATGGGAGGGCTGCCTTCTCGTTACAGTGAAGTCTTCAGTTTTCTATAGAGACCACAGATCCATAGACGAGGCACCAACTATACTGTCATCATGGGAGGGCTGCCTTCTCGTTACAGTGAAGTCTTCAGTTTTCTATAGAGACCACAGATCCATAGACTGAAAGAAAACTGATTAATCTTTACTTATTGCAGGACGTTTTTCTTCTGCGCTGGTTACACACTAACAAATGAGAGGTTACTTCTGAATGAATGAATGAATGAATTTGAGATTATTTGTAAGTGGCCAGGCCTGGTTTAAAGTATAGCCCATGTTTTCTCTGGATGGCCAGTCTCCACACAGAGGTTTGAACTTGGGCTTGCTGCTCCATCCAATAGTATTACCACCATCTAACAACCATCCTTGTCTACCAGTCTCAAAACAATGAAATTAAATTATTTTAGTCTTTGTAGAACACGAAAAATGTTCAATGTGACTGAAGGCCCCCATGGATTGTAGTGCAAGAGCCAGTGATGAGGAAAACTGAATATACTGAACAATGAGAATGATCAATGATGTGCAGTGTGCTATGTTATGTACTAAGAACAGAATACATTCACTTTTCCTCGCCAAAGGACCACCCTCTGCAAGACAAGCGTCTTTACTTGTACTCATGATTTACCAGTTTTTCTTTGTTTTAACTTTATCTAGGAAAAAATAAAATTATGAAATTTCTGGTTTCATTTTTTTTCTCTTGCTTTCACAGTTTATCACAATGCAAGGACAATCATCTTTGTTCCCCACATGAAAGATCAGTCATGATATGAAATGAGCATGCCTACAACTTTAATTCTATCATGTATGGAAAGTAATGACACATTTTGACTTGCATTCTAGTTACTACATATGCAGTTCTTAAAGTATAAAATCTAATTAAATATATTTTTATAGTCCTATTATTTCTGGAGGTAAAAAATGATATAAAGGGATAGCCAGGCTGGGAGCCCTGAGGAACTCATCGTAAGGAGAATGGAAAAGAAACCGAGGCCCTTGAAAAGGGCATTCTTCTTAGTCCAGTTGGTTCACTCAGGACTCATAGCTTGGCTGTTCCTGTCTCTATTCCATACCACCACCTTCCATGTTCAGGATATTTTTCTATGAAGATGGACGCAGTATATTCTTCTGAAACTTCAGTAATCTTTACAGTCACTGCCATCAGCACCTCAAACCTCACATAACTCTGACATTGGAGGAACTGTTACATCTGCGCTCAAGAATGTCTTCAAACTGTGAAGAAAAATGCCAAGGTTGCTGAAACATTTTTATTGACTATTAAAATTACACGTTAACAAAAATATAACACATTTCTGTGATCATAACATTTTATTTAAGAAATAAAATCTTTTACAAAATAAATCTGAACTGGAAAACAGTGCAAAATATAAATGGATCAAGCAGTGCTAAAACAATATGCAGACACATTATAAATTATTATTATTATGGAAAATACATCTTACATAGGGGAAAACTTTCTCTCTGGTTGTTGTGGGCTGGCTGACCTCTATGTTCCATTCCTTCCCTCCTCCCATGTACCAAGAACCCTTCACTTGCTGACCTCTTAAGCTGCTAACATCTATGGTCCTGATAGCACCAACAACATTCGCTTCCTTCGTGTTGAATATTCTGATGGCAAATTATTCACTCTTTGTGTTTATGGAATAAAGAAAAGTGCATGCAACATAAATATACAGTTCTGTCTCCTGAGAAGTACATATTAATTACAGATGTAAAAGAACGAACTTGACGTGCTACTGTACGATTCATGAAGATGGTCCCTAAGCAGTCAAGTGGCTGTTATCAAATATATTTTTAACATCACTGTGAGTCACTGTTAATTCTATTATAATACATCACTTGGCTTTCATCTCTTGAACACTGCAATGGGTTACATTTGTGCCTGCATCATGAAAAAAATATTTTTAATTGATCACTTTTAAAAGTTACATAATTTTGCCATTGTTTTGTATTGGTGTGAAATATGGACTCTTAATTTGAAGGAAGAACATGTAGTACAAGTGTCTGAAAACAAAGGGCTCAGGAAGACATTTCAACCTAAGGAAAACGAATTGGGAAATGGGTCACCGGGTCAACTAATCTGTATTAATTATACAATTTCTGTTATTCACTTGCAATAAGAAAGGTCATAATGTACAGTCAATTACAATATTTAAATATCGTGGCATGTAGACCTGTTGCTAAGCAGTGTCTGTACAGTGGCCTGCAAACAAGAGGAATGGTATTTTCTGCATGATCTGCTAAGCAACAATTGAACAGCAACAGAGGAATAGTGTTTTCTATGTGGTCTGTGCCAAGATGATATAAGCAGGATAACTAGTGAGAGTTAGTGAAATGGAGTGAGTGGGTTGGTTGGAGGACTGCTGTTCAGTTGTGAGCTGTTACTGTTAGACACTGGTAGCTGAGTCACAGGGATAGTTCAGGAAAGGGGAATGTCAGCCATTGGAAGTCGTTACCAGAAAAGTGGTGAAGACACAGCAGCATGAGAAGACTTAAGTGTGTGCTGTGGTGAATGAGCAATAGGGCTAGAGTTACTTGTAGTTACGAGTTGTAATTATAAGTATTCAATAAATCCAATTACAAACCCAAACCCCATCTATAGTCATACACATTAATAGTTGGTGTTAGACACTTGTAATAACATCTATTCCGATAAAACTTTATAAGCAATATGCAATGAACTGCTCTCCCCTCTCTTTCATACGATTCTGACAATGTACAGTAAATTAAAAAATTATGAAAAGATATGTTTTAAAAATATGTTGCTATGGTCTGAGACATTCAATCAGATCTACATTAAATACCAGTATTCTACTTCATCTTGTTATTGTCATCTCTCTGCTACACATTTTAAAGCACATACCCTGAATACTGAGAAGTGACTAACAATATGTTTGAAACTGCAATGCAGCACCATTACTGTTTCACACTGCACCTTGCAGCTAACTGATGACTCCCCCTACCTAAATAATGAGGTTATTATCACAGGTTCATTGCCAGTCAGTGGATGTTGGGGCATCCTCAGTTGGTGATGGGTCAGGGGCTGTATGGTGGGGGCGGAGTGATGCTCTCAAGAGGAGTGTCCGCACCTCTTGGACCACTCCCCATAACAGAGAATGTCTCGATACCATCCCAGTCATCTATGAGGGGGCGCCGCTGTATCTCCTCAATGGGAGAGTGGTATTGTAGCAGATTGCAAGCTGTTGCACACACAGCAACTGCACCTGAATAACAAATCACATGGAACACTAAAATTAAGAAGAAATACAAGGGTTGGAACTTTAATAGTGGCAACACTGCTGTAGAGACGCCATGTAACAGAACCAAATAATGTCGCTTATACCACACCTGAGTTACACATACTTACCTTACCTCAGAGCAAATAGACTCTCCCTTCCCACATCACGTGCATGCACAGTGGCAAGAAGAACAGAGCCTCGTGTTAGCTGGCGGTGTAATGTAGTGTTGTCACGATGTTTTTGAAACAGGAACAACAGAGTTGAATAAAGACTGAATGTGCCAGAGGCCGTACAGCACGAAAGTGTCATCAAGATCTTCAAGAGGCTTGCGGGGAATCTGCATTGCCTTACAGAACAGTGGCAAGGTGGGTAAAAGCCTTCAACGAGGGATGCCAAAATGTGGCAGACATGCGTCGGCCAGGTCATCCTAGTGTCAGTGAAGAAGTGTATGCTCTTTCCACTTTACTGGAGAGTGATTGATGCCATACAATTCGTGAGCTGGCCTGAGAGACAGGATTAGCGCATACGACTGTGCTTCATATTCTGAAGGGATGCCTGGGCATGAGAAAAACTGCATCACGACGGGTTCTGCATGGTTTGATGGAAATGCAGAAATGGCTACAATACAACACAGCTCGTAACCACTTGGAGCGCCATGAGCGCGATGGAAAGGCTTTCTTACACCGTATCATTATGCTGGATGAGACATGGGCCAAATTGTATGAGCCACAAATGAATGGCGTCATTACGGATCACCACGAAAATCAAAAGTTCGTCAGAACCCCAGCAATGTGAAAGTTAGGGTGATTCTCATACAAGACTGTGATGGTGTTATCTTAACACATACCATTCCCCGACAGCAGACCGTCAATGCGCAGTATTACTGTTCAATTTTGGAACAACCTGCGAGCAGCATTGAGATAGAAGCGGCGACACTTTCTGCAGAACCCACCCATCATTTTGCAGGACAATGCTTGGCCGCATGCAGTGCAAGGTGTGGCTGATTTGTTTGATCAATGGGGCTGGGAAGTGCTGTACCATCCACCATACAACCTGGACTTAAGACCTTGTGACTTCAACTTGATTCCTAAGATGAAGAAACTACTTTGTGGCATTCGCTTCAGAACTGTTCCAGAGATTCTTCAGGCAGTAGACCGCTCCATTCAAACTATTAACACAACAGCCGCTGCTAAAGGTATCCTACGACTTCCACATCGCTGGCAACGGGTTGCACACAATGCTGGTCACTACACTGAAGGACAGTAAAACTTTGAAACATACATCTATTTTGTATCAGTTGTAAATAATTAGTTGCCACTATTAAAGTTCCAACCCTCGTATATATTCCTATCATGGTCAGTTTTATGTTCATTCAGTAATTTTTTCCTTTCTCTTTGAGAGGGGAAACATAATTCTCTATCATTTATCAAACCATCATTCTTCTGAATCCACACTACCTTCAAAGTGTGTATAAGGAATTTATGGTTTATAATAATTGGTGCACACACATAAGAATTTATTTAATTTGAAATGATTGGCAAAAAAATATGCAGACCAGAACAAATATTTCAAAAATAAGTAATAAAAACGACAAAGTACACTACATATAAAACTATGTGTGTGTGTGTGCGGGCGTGCATGTGTGTGTGCGTGCGTGCATGTGTGTGTGGGGGGGGGGGCGCTCAGAACTAAAATCAGCAAAAACTTATAATATGAAATAAATGTAATGTGAATACAAATCAATTGAAAAATGTTTCAGTACTCAGAAGGTTTGCAATGAAATCAGATGGATAATTTCTGGAACTGCTTGTTATTATTTAGCTCAATAACTGTTACTGTGATGTCCCCCTTCCCCTGTAATGGTGACAGTACTTCTGTATGGATACGAAACATGATCTCTTACTTAAAGGGAACATAAATCATTACACTGTTTCCCATGTTCCCAGGACATTACTCTGACCTAACAGGGAATTACTGGAACAACGAGCCATCCAGTGTAACAAATTCAATAGAACAGATCACATTAGATGTATGACCTTACATGTTTCAGCCCCCTGCAGCCATCCTCAGAAGCAGGGCAATAAACGAAACATGGAAGGCTATACATCACATTTGATTTACTCTATTAAATTTGTTACAGTGGATGGTATTTTATTCCAATAATTACTAGAGCTGTAGCTGTAAAGATGTCACATATAAGAAAGAAGTGAAGAATTTGGTGGTTTATACAGATAACAGGGTATTCTTAGGAAAGTAACACCCATATGGGGTGGGCGTGTAGCCAGGATCAGGGACCCCAAGGAATGTATAAAAAATTATGAGAAAACCTCCATTTATTGCAGATCATGCACATCAAGGAGAGCCACCATGTTCAAATTTGGCAATCCATATTCTGTCTTGTTAGTACGTACCCAACTATACAGAAAACTGTATTTCAGAGCTAACATAAACTGAGAGCACATCATTAAATATGTGCCCATTATTTTAATATCTTAAGAGGATTTAAAATACCAGATGTTATCAAAATCTATTCACCCAGGGAGCTATCACTAAAAAAAAACTCCGTGGTTTTAGTCCGCAAGCGAACTATACTGATCAAGGAACTGCTGCTTGTCAGCAAAGTTAGTGCCAACTTTAGTGAATAGAGAGTGTCATGTAGTCAACAAAACGAATCCCCACGGTCGTTAATTTCGGTTTTCTAGACTGTAGCTGCTATTTCCTTGAAATAGCTCCTCAATTATCCTCACAAGGCTGAGTGAACCCTGTTCCAGACCCACTACTTCTCAGAAAATCTGGTAGCCCCAGGAATCGAACCCAGGCCTCTGGATCTGTAGCTAGGAACTCTACCCACTAGACTACATAGGACTATCACTGTATACATAAACACAGATAACATACAGAGACCAATCATCCAAGACATTCATTTCTACAAGAACATGAGAAAAGAACACTGATGTGCCTTATTACTTCCTATTAACATATTTTCAGAAATGATCACTAAATTTAAATGTAAATCAGAGGTAGTCTATATGTTCATCAGAGGGGCCGCGCCATATCACAAGTGGTTAGTTGCTGGCTTCCCACCGCGGCAGCCCGGGTTCGATCCCGGGTATGGTCAAATGGGATTTGTGGTGGACAAAGTGGCGCTGGGGCAGGTTTTCTCCAAGTACTTCGGTTTCCACTGCCAATCTTCATTCCACCAATTGCTCCACAATCACCCTCACCTATCATCTGGGGCTGGTACAATAGGCCAGAAGTGGCCGCAGTTCAAGAGACTTAGTCCCACCCCACTAGCAATAAAAAATAAAACAAAATAATGATGTTCATCAGAGATTAAATAATAATTAATGACTACTATAAAAACTAAAGTTTTAATAATAACTCTTTTACCATACAGTCGTAATGAAATAATATCACAATATTCAGCAATGAAGAAACACAAAATACATGTTTCACAAAGCTCTTCTAAATATATGTTTTTCATGCAAATAATGATACCTCATGATAGAGAGACTACTGTTGTCAGATCTCCCTACTGGTAGAATTAGTACCACTTGCATCCGGTGCTCTGTGAGTACACTGTGTTACTGTAACCTCATGCAGCACTACTGACACTGTATTGTAGACACTCCTATCCCTACCATCCATGAGAATTCTTTGGCCAGCAAAATTAATGTAACAGTAATTCCCTCATTATCATATTCCATGCCTCAACAATTCCAGCAGTGGCTATAAACATATGCTTATAATAAGAATCATTTTGAATCAAATTCCTACCTGCTGCAGTTATTGTGTAACAACCATATTCATAATAAACTTGTATTCCTGACACCTCAATTAGTTTTGTGACATCATAACAAACACCAATGATGGCTATCACCCACAGAACTGTAAAATAAAAATTAACTGTATCAGAAAAGAACATTTTGTGTCAAGCAAACTTACTGCTTTACCAGTATCACAGTTATAAAACTATCATTCTACTGTTATGATTATGAATATATGTTAAATGGAAATCTACAGCACAAGAGGGTTTCACTAAGCAGGTCTGCTTATGCTTCTACCTTTTTTTCAGGATGTGACTAGTTCAAAATTTAGCTGGGGCATCCACCAGTCTAAGGTTTTCCATGCCCTTCTCAGTCCCTCCACACAAATGGAAAGACAGTACCTAAAATTATGGGACAACCACTTCCTTACTGATCCTTTCCAATTGTTATCCAGTCACCTGATGATTCAGTCTGTATTACTGACAGCACTGTTAAATGAGGTACTAATATATGCTACAAAAAGAAAAAGGTTTCTATAAAAATCTGCATGGAAAGGTTAACACACAAAATGTTTCAAGTCAAAATTTGTAAACATGCATACAGCTTTTCACAGAATCGTGTTATGATGGTTCACCACATCACTCTCAAAGGAAGGAACAAATACAAATTCCAAAATTCAAAATGTACTGATCCCCATGCTATGACTGTGGCTGTGATGTGATGTGTCTTAATGAGCGAAATTATATACAAACATTTTCGGGAACAGCTACTCATAAGAGATATGTCTACAATTTTAATCGTTTCTTGCATCCTGTTGTGTGTTTAATTAATAGTAGAGTGAATTTACCGACTACACAACACGTTTTTATTATTACATGTTTCGACCTCAAGAGGTCATCCTCAGGTGTATGAACAGGGCTGTATAATTACACACTGTCACATTCACTTTTCATTCATTCGACCCTGTATCTTATCCAGATTTACGCTCACTAATATATCGAGTTCTTTTATAAAACACAGGTTAAAATTATTACTCTAATTTACTTGTTAAAAGTTCGTGAATCGAAGTTCAATTCATGTCACTGGTTACACTTTCACTTGTTTGATTTGTTCACATTGGACGGAGTGATTTATAATTTGCTTTCACTTGTTGTTTACAGTCTCTTTTTACTTACGCTCACAACTGTGTCTAGTTCTTTTTTAACTAGTTTAATTATTATTATTATTATTATTGGTTACAAGTTTGTGAATTAAAGTTCAACTTATGTTATTGGTTGCACTTTCACTTGTTTGTGGGGTCTCGCTGTACTTCCGCATTCTCTGATGCTGCTGGATCTGTTACGATCGTTGTTGTGATGGGTACTACAGTTGGACCCTTGTTTAATTACTTCCTCAATTCGTTTAAAACATTAGCATACAATGCCATCAGCCCAGTTTTTTCTTCTGGATATTTGTATTTTAAATGACATTCACATTTCAATACATCAGAAGGGGTAGGACTGTTTTCATTTTATTAATCCACTATGTTATGAGGAGACAGACTTACCTGTAAATATACTTGGAATTGAATTCCTCTGTATAACTTTCATGGCTTTTTTTGTGGGACCCACAATATCCAAGAAAAATCCAACAAGAGAACATATCATTGCCATGAAACATAATATAATTATGACACGCATCAAGCTGGCAATCTCTGGTGTAACGCACTGAAGAGCTGAAAATTGAACAAAGAACTCAGCAATACATGCAAAAAGGTACAGTTCTCTTATGTTATAATGGTCTCTGGCCTATATGAGAGGGAAGTACTGGTAGTGAGATAAGGAAAGGTAATGACAGCATGCCTGTAGACCTGAAAGAACATTTGCCATGAGTTTTACAGGTGTATCAAACAGGATTCTTAATATTATGTGACTGACTACTACCTCTTACTTGGTTCTGCACAAGTCCTTACAGTTTATGCAGCACATTAAGAACCTAATCTCCTGACTTATAACACCACGTGGTACAACACAAGTAAATATAAAGGGTAGCCTACCTTCATGATACCAAATCCGTTTTCCATATATCACAGAGAACAGTTCTACATGCAACAGACTAGCTACTTATCCCAGATATAGGGTAGGAAACTTGACTTACTTCCACTTGGTGAGTGGTATTGAATTGGTAAAGGAGATGAGGACACTTCTCTTGCATGGAACTGCAGATCTGTTTGCCTCGTACCAGTATCAAAATATCCAAAACTAAAGAACTGGTAGACAGCTAGATGTGGTGCACAATGACCACCTTTCAAACGGAACCATCCAAGTTGCGCCAACGATGTGCATGTCAATGCTATTGTTGCCATGTGAAAGAATGCAGCGACAAAGTTCCTTTCTTGTTCCTTTGGGACATGCCAACGTTGACGGGGAAAATGAGTAGGGTTATACATTATTTTAATTAATCTGAAACATAACAAACGAATGAGCTGATGTCAATATGAATTGGCTTAGCCACCCACACAGATTCAGTAATAACACAGCCACAACATCCGACTGTATGATATTCAGATATCTCCGTAATAATGTCAATAGAGACAAGTTTGCTCTAAACAATGACTATCATGATTTATTAACTAGATTCAAACTTGACTATTTCCACATCTCATGGAACTTGTTTCTGTACAGATCTATGGAAATGAAATAAATGAATGAATGAATGAACACCAAAAAAAACTACAAACACTTATTCTCGTAAATCTGAGCATACGAAAATACAACGTACCAGTTACTTTGACATTTATTTACTTGGTTCTGTTCACGGAGAATAAAACATACATGTCTTCTCCACCAAGTGTTCAATTTACACGTCCTAATCATGCAGTATTGTTACATTCACTTTACTAGAGCTCATTCGTGGTGCGAAATATTGTTTTTTACTTATAATTAAAAAAATATACTTTCCAATTTCCTGCAGGGTCTCCTCCACTTACACGAGCATATTCATAATCAATGCAGCTAACATGATAATCAGAAATTCAGCTAAATGGGTAAGCAGCAGAGATTGTGCTTTTAAAACATGACTTTTATCCCACATTTTCTAGATCTTTCTTAAAAAGCTAACAGTTACTCACCTGATCAAGAAATCCTCAGTCATTTATGGAACTTCCAATCATTACCGTATTTATTTAACTGGCCCAAATCATACGCTAATTAGCTGCAAATTAATTACATTAACCTATGGTCCTATGTATTGTGACACCACATAGCCTTGATAGAGCTTACCGACCGTTACCGACCTTTCAGATTTTTTAGATGAAACCGGTGCCTAAATCATCAGGCATATCTATCCAGAAGTTAGAGGAATGTGTTGTCCTCAACCACTTCTCGCAACCTACAACCTGCAATCACAGTCAAAATCTGCATTTACGTAAAAATCTCAAATCCCTGCTGTAAATTTAAATAAACTATAATATTTTAAGGTATTGCTGTAGTAATAGGCTCGATTGTGTTTGTGGTCATGACGCTACTGTATCTTTTACGTCATTTAAAGAAAGCCTGATTTAGAACATCAAGCGCAAGAACATTTACACGAATACATCGCTGCCATCGCTGATCGCTACGTACAGGGAGATTTCATTGCACTGTGAGAACTTCTACTCGTTCTACTCTGACTAGCTGGCAGCAGTGCAAACAGTGAACGTTTGCAGCGTCTGCGGTTAGTAACATTTGAGTCAGATTTGTAGTGTGTGGTTTGGTGAATGAATGAATGAATGAATGAAAAGAAGGGAGTTTTGCGTAGGTAATGTGAGGCGTGTGAGGTAAGTGCATTTTGTGTTCAGTCACTTGTATAGGTCTGGGATTTCTCGTTTTGCCAAAAAAAAATAATAAGTTTCCATAATATAATTTTACAGTTCCATTCAAGTCGTTTCCTTTTCTTTACAGAATGAAGTGTATGATAACTCGCATGGTGTATATCCATTGATTTTCATTTAAGATAATTCTGTAATTAAGTAGAGGAGAATGGTGCACAGCAGGTCACCTTCTCCCTCAGCTTCAAGACGGCGACGTAGCAAATCCCGTGAAAGAGAACCGAGAGATCGCGATCGTGATAGGGATCGTGACAGGAGGAGGAGGCGCTCAGGGGAGAGGAATCGAAGGAGGAGGTTGGTAATGATGAATATTATACCCTGGTTGCACCGACTGTATTGTTGTGTTATATTCTGTATCGTCTTCTGTGACTCTTTCAAAATCAGATCGGTTCACAAACCATAATCTAAACCCAAACTTGTCATTGCATGCATTGTAAGTGGCTGTCAGAAATGGTAACATATCCCAAGCTATGCGTTTCTGAAGTTGTTCATTCCTTTAAAATGAAAGCTTTATCATTTCCCTACAGATGCATTTCTGTTGAGCATGGCATCTATCACATATAATACTGGGAAGGTTTAAAATGATGTGCTTATTGTGATAGACAGGTAATGTACCTTATATAACTTATCTCTTGTAGATACTGCTTGATCTTGCCATCTGCTCTAACAACATTTTAGTGGCACAGTATAATGTTGTTTAAAACAAAGTAAAGTTAATTTTAGCAAACTGAACAAAAATAGCCCTGACTACTGTGGTTGCCAGTGACTGCTACTTCTGCGTGCTCCACAGTTTGCCTTTCATACAAGACAGGATTAATCTAGTCTTAGTCAAAGCCATGTGTGGGAATTGGATGGCATTGAGGGAATCTGTGCCTTTGAAAAAGTAAGGAATAATTAGCACATAGGGAAAGTAGCTGAGCAGGAGTAAGGTACAATGTAAAAAAAAAGAAAGGCAATGCTATCCCTGTAACAGGCCATGAAGGCCTGGTACTTATTTCTCTTAGAGGCTGAGTCCACACAAGGTCAATAGTGTGGCCAGGATTTAAAAATCTGGTAACCTCATTGGGAATTGAACCTGCAACCTTCCCACTTGCAGCATACTGCCTCAACCAACTACACTACTGTGTGCCCCAACTGAGCTGGGTTTCAGAGGAATACGTACAGGTGTGACTAAAATATGGAGACAGACATTGGGCACGAGTTCCACGTACCGAAAGGAAAAAGATATCCACATCAGTGTATGTTCAGAAACATTTGTAACCGTACGTCCCTTGCCAAAATTATTTAACTAAGGGCATTAACAACTGATGCATTGTTTAATACTATGAGAGACGCTCCATCGACGAGATACCATCCTGGGACCGTCTAGTTGTAATTCAGCGACTGTCCTCCTTAGGCTAAGGGTGCCACTATTGTCCCTGATGTTGCCAGTTTACTCCCAGTACCATAAACCCATGAACTGACTGTGTGCGAGACCAGCCAGGAGGGGTCTTGCGTGCCTTGAAGACCTAACAAAAGTTACGGGCTTCTCGAAAAATACGAATGTAGGTCAGATGCCGGGCTCGACCCTTGGCTTTCTCTTTTTATGTTTCTATTTTTTCGTGTTTTTTAGGCCAACTGGGGGACTGGTAAAGAGAGGGCAGTCGGCTATAGGGAGCGGAGGAGGACAGTAGTTGAATGGTAGATATAGAAGAAATACGTGTTTAACTGTAGGGTAGTGAGTAGGGCGGATGGAGCGGCTAACTTGAAGGACTATGCAAAGATTAACAGTTGAATTGAATTTTAAATTAAAAGTACGATATTCAATGTTCTGGAGATCCCGGATTTATTTACCCCGAAGTGTGTTCCACTCCTATCTCCGAAGCACCCGTATCCTGTGATTAAGAACTCAAGCTCGAGTGACAGTCGTGGCAGCTGCACGTCGGCGGACGGCTACACATTTAATTTGTGAGTTATGACTGAAACAATGCTGTATGGGCAGGAATTGTTAGTGATTGTTAGGTAGACCTGCACATTTTGCCACTTCAGCTTGTAGGCAACCATTACCGATATTTCCTCGTGCATTATCTGACAGAACTACTACTGGAAGATGCACCACTGACATTCAGAGCACTTCACCATTACATTTTGGATGCCTGTCAGACTATCTGCATCTACCCGGGCATCTTTGAATGGATGTGTCATTCCACAATGTCAATTCGAGGTGTGCATTGAATCTCATGAAGACATTTTGAGCACTTATTGTAAGTGTATTCTCTCAGCTATAACTCACAAATGTTTCTGGACATGTTGATAAAAAGGTAAAGTCCATGTGCTTAACTATGAGTATTTAAGCACTACGCCACCAAGGCTCATGGGAACTGGACGTATAGATCCACATTTTCTTGACATCAGCACTAGTTGGAGGTGAGTCAGATAGCTTTACATTACCCAATACGTGTTGATATGTGGAACCTGTGCTCAAAGTTTGTATGCACCTTGCAGTTACACCCGTATATATACATAGTTCCTTTAATGGAGATGTAAATTTTATATTATGTTGTGATTCCATTTGGGTATATTATCAGAATGGTTTGGCCATCTATGACATGGTACTTTCAGTTAAAATTGCTCAGTTGATCAGACTTATTACGGCATGCAGATCATATATTTTTCCATCATTCTACCAGCACAAGAATGTTAGAAACACGTATCCCCATAACACAAAGATATGAAATCCCTCTTCCATACTTACAAATTTAAGTAATGCATATATGAAAACTGATTGATCTTTCAGAGTCAGGCAACACCTTTTGTAAGGGTGATTTCAGTCAGTGTGGATAATGAAAATCATTGGAGAGTATAATTGTATTGATGGATTCTCATTAAGGTTTTTTTTCCTTGGCACTACAGCCCCAGCAGGCCTAGGCCTACCTCCATGAATTTCTCTGTTCACCATTAAAGGTTTATCATACTTAAAAGAGCAGCATTTTTACAAACTTAGCTCCTTGTTCACGTCACCTTTCAAAATAAACATCTGTAATACCTCATCACATCAGATGCTGTAGTGGCAAGTAAATTCTCCTACCTGGTACCTGAATGCTGTCACGTGCCCCCGGTCAAATTACAGAATGTAGTTCTCTTCACTAGTTTATATTACATGTATTGTTGCACAACTGAACAAGTTGTAATACATATCTAATGCAAATCTTGTGGGAATGCAGGCATCGCCGATCTCGTTCGTGGTCTCGCTCACGATCACGTTCTGACTCCAGAGGCCGGGACAAGAGTTCCAAGTCAAAGGTTCAACTTGCAGAAAGACCTCCTATTACTGGTATGTATATTACATTAGTGGAGTCAGTATAGTGACTGGATGGTTGGGGTTCACTTCCTGGTGGAGGCAAGAGATTTTATTCTACAACACAGCATACAGACAAGTCCTAGCCTCCTCTCCAATGCGTACCAGGAGATAAAGTGGCTGGGGCATGAAGGTGATCACCCACCTCTGAGAATGTTGGAGATATACCTCTTCTCCCCCATACATCATCACAGTGTGGGGCTAAATTAAGTGGGCACAGAAACAACTTTACCTTTTTATGGGGATCTAAAAGAAGAGAGAATTTGTGAGTATGAATCTTATTTTTCAGATTCAAGGCTGGTGAGTGAAAATACCAGAAAGATTTTGGAACTAAAAAGTTTAGGCGAATTACTGTAACTGCACTGAGAGTCAATCACCCATTTGTGATCACAAAACTCAGAAGTTTTATTACACATAAATGTGAAGATAACAGTTTCACAGATTCTGCCTGTTCCAATCTTATATGAAGTCACCTCAATCACGCTTGATGCGACAACCCACCAGAATCTTGATGTATGTATTCTGTAAAACCTTGCGTTTATGGTGATCCATTATAAGTTGTTTTTGTGATTTTTATGTCAGTGTTTATCATATTTAAAATACTGATCACAGAGTGATTATTTCAAGGGCCTCTTTTTGTAATTCATCAGTCTCAAGTATGATTGCAAGCCAGTAAAGTAAAAGTATGTGAATAAATGGCAGCTTCCTCCAAAATTTGGCTGTAGTACTTCTGCCACCTCACAAGTTTGTGCAGCCACCATATTGTTATTACTCACTTTTAGGAAATTAATTGTTGCTTCCAGTAGTGTAACATTTGGACAAACGCTGTGAAAAGCAGTCAGTGGCTTCAAAAGTTGAAGGGGGTACTGATGCACACAAGCCTACACTTATCCTTAACAAAGAAAGGATGCTAATAAAAATGAAGTTCATAAAGCAGGAGAAATAAAGCCATTGAATTTGTATCACTGTTGAGTCTAAACCTTTTCCAAAAAGTCTACGGATTCCCGTCTGTCCTGTTTAGGATCCTTACATTTGTTCCCTTGCCAGATGATGACTGCCACTAGGCAACAGCCTGTAACAGAGGAACAGTGTTTTCTGTTCGGTCCATGCCAAGATGTTATAAGCAGGACAGCTGGTTGTGAGTTAATCACTCGGTGAACTGCTGCTGGTAGATAAGGCCAAGGATAGTTTGGGAACTTAAAGAAAGGGGAATGTCCAACACTGGAGGCCAGAGAACTGTAAAGTGTAGTCACACATTGTATCAAAGAGTTCATCAATCCAAAACCCATCTATAGTCGCACTCCATAAAATTGTGACAGCTTACCACTTTTTTGTCTGACATGTAATTTATATACATCTTTATGTCTATTTTTATTTTAGATGCCGATTTAGAAGGGAAGAGTCCTGATGAACAAGAAATGATGAAGCTTATGGGTTTCTGTGCTTTTGATACTACAAAGGGAAAGAAAGTATCTGGAAATGAAGTAGGCACAGTTCACGTCATTCTGAAGCGCAAGTACCGCCAGTACATGAACCGGAAGGGTGGTTTCAATAGACCACTGGACTTTGTGGCTTAAAATGGAATTCATTCTGTGCTGTCCAAGACTTGAGATGGAGGTTGTCAGTTCTGCATACAAAACAAGTGTCTTGTATAAATAAGCTGAAGACTTGACGAACATTTTCAATGAACTGAACTTACTGTATTGCAAATTAACTGTTTCAAGTCTCATCACATAATATCCAACCTCAGGTTTCAGTTTATTAATTTTCTTGTAGCATTTCATCTGTTATTGTTCCATTTTCTTTACAGATAGCAATTAAATAATTTCTTTTGTATCAGTATTACAGTGAATGTATATTACAAAAAAAAATGATGCTAGAATTAGAATTTCTTGAGAATATAATGTTCCAAATAAAAAATATACACAAGCCTTTCTTCATCACACATTATGTTCCCTCCTATTTCAATCTTGTTGATAACACTATAAATCACAAACATATAACTTTTTTTCTCTATTTCATACAAGAATGAATAGGGTCGACAAGTCTGAAATATTTTGTGTTCCACAACACCATTTCCTGACATTGAAAACAGTGGAGTACAATTAATATTCATACAAAATTTACAAGTGATTTATGTTTTTTAAAATTTCTACAGAGATATAGTTATTTTTTGAAATGATGTGATGCAATTGTTAAGTCTATAAAAGTCTGGGTGAGTGAACCTAAGAAGTATGCAATGAATGGAATCTTTTGCCTTGTGGCAGTGCCAAAGTCATGTTAAAATAGAAACATACATGGGCAATGGCATGCTTGCATACTTGATTAAATCGGAGAAAAGTAACATATAATACAGTATCTAAAACTCTTACCACCTCTACTGAAAACATTTCTAAAAATTATGAAACTATATATAGATCAACTTTTAAATTACATAATATCAAAAAATTAAAACATGGGTTTGTCACATACACTTCATCATGTATAGTTTATACAAAATGGCTGAATTTAATCGGAATATTATGATCTGTAACTGTGAAAGTTAAAAATATAATTATCTGAAAGCTAAATTTTCCCATTTGGGTTTTAAATGCCAATTTCTCGTCTATCTTCTCGCCGTTATATAATTAGTCCTTCCTGAATATTTTATACCCAGTTCCATGCAATGTCTGTATCACACTTTCTCACTTCACCTGTCCAGGAAGCCTGAGATTTCTTTACAATTCTATTCCTCCAAAAAGCTTCACTTTTCCTTATGCATTTTGTTTTAAATATCTAATTATTCACTAATAACACTATTGATCTAAAACTGTCACTCCATAAAAGATACCGTGAACACTGACTGCATACATAGCAACATAAAGGGAAGGCTGTTCCAGTTGTGTTGCGAACGAGCAAATATGTAAAACCAATGGCAGCAAGTAAACTGACATAATAAACATTACAAATTCACAGAGTAATCCGATGGACCTCGTACCCACAGTTTATTTCTGCACCAATATCGAAAGCCCACAATAGAAAGAAGGAGCACTACTCAATTTGCAAGCTCCTTTATAACGGTAGAAAGATAATGCACCCAATTATTTGTGCACCAGAGAATAATTAAACTACATTTGTTCCTCAAGCATATTAGCGTGCCAACAATCATGTCCTGCACACCAGCAAATTGCAGAAACCATCCAAGCACGATAGGTAACATCTGAAATGCTACTGTCCTACGTCTGCTGTTGGAAAATGTAATAAAAAGCATCGTAGGCTCAACTCCATGTACATATAGTAATAATAGTTGTAAGTTATAATCGCTTCTTTTTGATATTTTTAATCACCTCCTTTCTTGAATTTTGCACATACTTTTTCTTCTTCGCTTTCTTGGTCTGTACAGAGCTATATTATATATCTATTGTTTAAAAATAAAAACAATTTAAGAAGCAGCGAGCAATAATTCATGTAGCAATGACGGAGGCTTGCTGCGTCATCGTGCCCACACTGCAGCAAGCAGACATGGACGTAATGGATGTGTGCGTATGGCACAATAGCAACACACACCACACACCAGCCCGTTTCGTCCAACTGAATGCTAAGACCTGTCAAATGGCAGTAGTTCATTCTTTTGAAAGATTGTGGGAGGTGGTCACTTTATTTTTCCCATGCTTCATTTTACATGGCAGTACCTGAAACAAAATTAAATTATATGAGTACTATTACTTTGTACAAAGTATTAAATTTATAGTTGCAGATACACCAAAAACCCATGTTTATGGTCTCTTTGGGAAGAAGTGGTTATGAACAGCGAGGGAAACATCTCATAGGGCACCAATCTAATGTTGAAATTACTAACTCTGGACTTGAATCTTAAATGAGAAAAACCTCAAATCGAGAAACATTAATAGAAGGTCAACTGTAACAGCTGCAGTAATAATCACAGAACAAAAATTAATTGAACTGTCCAGTATTACGCTTCCCTCTTGTTCAATTCATTTCTACATCCACATGCTTGACAATCAGGCCAACACCTAGCCTGTCAGAGACCCTGCTGTCAGTTTTGAATAAGACAGACACATAATGTGGCAGATAAGTACCAATGTCACAGGGGAACCTGTTACTTCCATTTTCAGGACTATCCCATGCTGATTTCATAACATATTTTAGCATCCCGGTCTTCCTGTATACAGGAAGATGGCATTAGTGAAACATACACAAGAGAAATACGACACAAAAACTGTGATAGCCGCAAAAGAGTGCAATGACGACATTCTGGTCATGAGATAGAACAAAACATTGACATGCATGGGAGCACGGTGGACAAGTGATCAGTGCAGTGGTCTCCCCAAAAGGCAAAAAGAAAAGTCACCTTATGATGGCCCATATGTGGCCGAAACACATTGTAAATTAAAAAAATTATGTAAAACTAGAGACATTTTAGAAATTGTGATAATCACTTTTAATATATAAAATATACTTTTAGTGTCCTATTGACATTTTAATGATTTTTATCATCATAAAGTATTAAAATACATTATTAGTCAGTGACATATTCTAGATGTCTTTTAAATTTTTGCATTATTGACGTGTACTTTGATGATAAGATCTCACAACTGGTTCTGTACCAATATAAAACTATGCGATAACATTTCTTTCCAGGCAGTCCAGATGTATGTATACATAAAATGAGGTACTCCTCAGAACCATATGAAACGGTGAAATGAGCCAAATGTTCATCATACTTCTTTCTAAGATTTTCATCACAATGTTGCAAATTGAAGAAAAGTTGCATACAAATTTGGCAACAGTGACTGTGACCATCTATGATGTTCACTAGAAGTCCAGCAAGAGTTGCTTTCATTCAAAACTCTTTACAGGTATCCAGATACCAACTTTAGAATACGTTTCATGAAACTGTGTACATTAGTAATAATTCCCATGACTAAGATTATTTTTTTTTATTTCAACTTTAAAAGAACTGGAGGCACACTCATACAGTAACTGCACAACTGAAACAATGTTCACTGGGGAACTAGTTATGAATAAAAACCAGAACTGCATGGAAGGAAAACATTTATATTCATCTATACTGTGACTGATGCTGCTTCACAATTAGAGGGACATGACACTGTTCTGTACCGTATTAAGCAGATGTGCGCATATCAGCATAGTGGCCACCATGAGGGTAACAGTTTAGTACGAGAGAAGGGTGGTACCACTACATCACTGATTCAATTTAGGTTTCTGCACCATGGCACCACAGAATGCATTATAATGAAGCACTAAAGTCTGGATCACCTTCATTTTCACACATTGTAAGTTTCAGCATATGTACTTCAAATGTGAGATTTTGCATTTGTTTTTCCTTGAAACCACTGTTGTCATGCATCTGGTGTCGACCCTTCTGTATACAAGCTTTAAATGATCATAAATGTATTTTAAGCAAACCAATTCCATGAAGCAAAATCCCTGAGAGGCTAATAATTCCTTAACAAGGCAAATTATCAGCACTTTTTGGAACCCAAAGGTTCATACTTGCCAGTTCAAAAAAGCTTTCCACTGGTCCCCATACTGAGCCTAATTAAGCACTATGCCATTAAGGCATATGGGGGAGTGGATGAATAGAGCCACATTTTCTTGACCTCAGCACTAGTTGGAGGTGAGTGGTCAATTTCACACCCCGGCCACTTTACCCCCGGGAGAGAGACCCCGTTACTCACTGAATAGGAGGCTGGGTGGGCCCAAGCTGGTCTGGACGATGTGGAGAATAGAAAATTCGTGATCCTACAAGGACTCAAACTCCAACCCCTTGGTGGTCCAGCCCATAGTCAGCCACTATACCAACTACACTATCCTGGCTCATGTCTGGATCCATACCATTAAATAATCCAATAATGAGTGACTTATCCATGTAATGAAACACGTAGCAATACTTCCACACAATAAACAGATACTAACACAGTAGCACTGATTTATTATAGAATTGTTGCATTGACTGATACATTAAGAATCCCATGTATGATTACACACAACAGGATGCAAACAATGAAGACCCCTCTATGTTCTTCCCTTAATACAGAGTGGGGTGCAGAAACTTTCTTTTTGTGAAGGGGGAGGTCGCAGAAAAGTTGGGATAGGCTCGGTGAACACAGCAGTCACAGAAGTTTCTGTCTAATACCCCTCAGTAGGAAACATAAGGTGGACGAGTGAGCAGCGTGCGTTTGCTGTCGAAGCCTATTTTTCGAACAACCATTCCTACATGGCGGTGCAGCGTGCATTCTGTACTCACTTCGGAATTAAGCCCAGAGGTCCGGTTCCCGACCAGAAATCGATTGTTTTGTGAGTAGAGAACTTTAGGACAATCGGGAGTGTGGTGAAAAAAACATCAGGACAACAATGGACCGTTACAACACCAGAAAATATGGAGGCAGTTCAAAAGTGGATTCTGAGATCTCCAAGACGCTCCGCTTGCAAATGTGCAGTCACCCTAGACATATCCAATTGTTCAATGTGCCTAATTCTTCACGAACATCTTCATTTCCATCTCTATAACATGGCTGTTGTGCAAGAATTGTCACCACGTGATTTCCAGAACCGAATAACGGTCTATTTTTTGAACAACCATTCCTATGTGGCAGTGAAGCGTGCGTTCCGTACTCACTTCGGAATTAAGCCCAGAGGTCCGGATCCCCACCAGAAATCGATTGTTTTGTGGGTAGAGAACTTTAGGACAACTGGGAGTGTGGTGAAAAAATCATTAGGACGACAACGGACCGTTACGACACCAGAAAATGCGGAGGCAGTTCAACAGTCGATTTTGAGATCTCCAAGATGCTCCACTTGCAAACATGCAGTTGCCCTAGACATATCCAATCGTTCAATGCGTCAAATTCTTCACGAACATCTCCATTTCCATCCCTATATGATGGTTGTTGTGCAAGAATTGTCACCACGTGATTTCCAGAACCAAATAAGGGCATGCGAAACGTTATTGGACACTTTACCCCCTGATGCACTTATTTTCTTTAGTGATGAGGCACATTTTCACCTATCCGGATATGTCAACAAGCAGAATATACGCTACTGGAGTGGTAACAATCCCAGAGAGCTCCATGAGAAGCCACTTCACAGTGATAAGGTTACAGTACGGTGTGTGTTGTCGAGAGCTGGAGTTATTGGCCATTATTTTATTGAAGAAAATCATGCAGTTACTGTCAATTCACAGCGGTATGTGGACATGATTAAAAACTCTTTTGAACCAGCTCTTGAAGAAATGCATCTAGGAAATGTCTCGTTCCAACAGGATGGTGCCACGGGTCACACAGCCTGAGCTTCGATGCCAGTTTTGAGGGCAAGGTTCCCCGGACGGCTCTTCTCGCTTCGAGGTGACATCCCGTGGGCAGCGCACTCACCTGATCTAACGCCCTGTAATTTGTTCTATGGGGATACCTCAAGCCAGAGGTGTTTAAACATCACCCCACAAACCTGCTTCAGCTGAAGAATATTATTTGGCAGGAAGTAGCCCAAATTCCGGTGCACATGTTGGAACGTGCAGAGGGGAACTTCAGAAAACGGTTGCATCAGTGCATAGAGAATGGTGGCCACCACCTTCAAGATATTTTGTTTAAAACTACATGGATTTAAAACTTTAAAGGATGTTCTTTCATTAGCTAAACATAAATTTTGTCTATCAGCAATAATTTTTCTTTTATTCGCCTTCAAAAAAAAAAAAAGTTTCTGCACCCCACCCTGTATGAGACACCAAGCATGATACCAATGCAAAGGGCTGCGTCATAGCTCAAGCGGTTAGTTGCTGGCTTCCCGGGTCTGGTGAAATGGGATTTGTGGTGGACGAAGTGGCGCTGGGGCAGGTTTTCTCAGAGTACTTCGGTTTCCCCTGCCAATCTTCATTCCACCAATTGCTCCACAATCACCCTCACCTATCATCTGGGGCTGGTACAATAGGCCAGTAGTAGTCCCAGCACAGTCACCTATGATTTATAAATACTTTAATCTTTAGGAATATTATGTTTTAGAAACTATAAACTACTTACTTTATAGCTTTACTACCTATGCTTCAGCAATCTTCTTCTTCTCCTTTTTCTTCTTGAGGAAGGATGGTGTTCTTAGGCCCTTCTTCTTTTTCTTGTCCTTTTTGGGTGACTCCTCAGTTGACATGTCTTTAGTGGGTGAACCCTGTCACAATTAAACAACTTATATTTTACATGTTTAAATGTTTATGCTACAAGCTGGAAGGTCACGGGTTCAAATCTGTATCAGGTCATCGGATTTTTTAATTGACCTAATCCTTCCAGCTACACTATGGCCCTAGGGTCGACTCAGCCTCTAACAGAAATGAGTACCAGGAATCTTCCCAGGGGTGAAGGCCCGCTGGCACATAAGGCTGACAACCTCACTGCCATCTGTGAGCGGACTGTCTAGATGATGTGGGAGCCTTGATGTCTCACAACCCCATGGGCCTTCACAGCCTGTTACAGGGGTAGCTTCACCTTACCTTACATAAAAAGTTAAGGAAAAAGGAAAGAGTTTTGTCTATAATGGCTTGCCATGTGTTCAAAAAATGGATTCAAAACCCTTATCTGATGCAAGAAACAGTAAAAGAAACTGATAAATAAAAGTGGTCCTGGTCATTTGCTATATGCTCAAAAAAATTAAATTCTGTCAGATTCTAACACTTGGAAAATATCATTCTAGCTTAACATATGTATATACTTCACTATTTTGATATTCACACACAATGGGTCTGCAGCATTATCATATATGTAAATCTCGCATCCATCGCTAATGATCAACTTTCCCTCACCTCTTTGCTGCTCTGTGAGAATGTGCTGTGGGGTGCATCTGGGTCATCTCCATTCACCGTATTCTCCCCTGAAACATAAAACTTCTACTGTAATGTTAAAAATACATTTACTGAACATACTTGCATATATCCTGTACGGAACAGCAGAATCTAGAGGCATAAACTTGAAAAGCCATTTACTTCTGTTGTGTAAACTGTGTAACCAAAAAAGGAACAATTTTATCTCTTCTGCGGTTTTCATAGCAGCGACTGTTCAGACTGTCGTCTCTTTGGTTGTGACATCATATAGTTTTTGAGCCTGATACTGATGTTTCAGAGGAATATGTTGCATCCATCATCAGGGCTGAAGTTTGCAATGTAAGGAACTGGTTGTTACACAAGTAGGTTCCAAGGAAGGTGGTCACTGAACATCCAATGGGGGGAGGGGGGGAGGAGGAGACAGTCTGGGCTAATTGACCAGGGAAGTATGAAAGGTGAGATTTCCAGGAACACAATACTGTGAAGAATAGCTTCACATGAAGAAAATCAGCACTGCTTAATTCACTATACTACTGAAGAAAGAGAGAACAGTACCCTCCCATTTCAGGCTCTTTACTGTAGTCTTCTGGATTATGACAGCAATAAGGATGTTTCAGAGGAACCACCACCTCCATCTTCATGGAGTCTTAATGTCCTCCTAATAGAATACATGCTGCCATAACCTAGGTGACCACAATATGAATCATCATAGCCAAGGGAACATCAAAGCTTATATATGTACTTTACATTTACTTTGCACTGGTGACCACAAGGTTATAAACCAGCACATTATGAGTGTGAATACAATTTCTTCAAACTAAATTCCACAATGTTTGACATGATATATAAAACCTAATTTTAATTTTTTAATAAACACCCAAATAGTTATTGCAATTGGCATGTGTGTTAACATATTACAATTTCAAAAATATCCATACCAGCTTAAAGAGAGAAAAACATTTAGTTACCTATGCTGGAGTCTATGAAACTGAAGACACTCATAAATCATTTAGCAATCCAAAGAGAAAGAAAGTTTAAGAGCATAAATACTACTTACAGAATCTAACAATATCCATAATTTTACAGTGAATGGATCNCCCCTGAAACATAAAACTTCTACTGTAATGTTAAAAATACATTTACTGAACATACTTGCACATATCCTGTACGGAACAGCAGAATCTAGAGGCATAAACTTGAAAAGCCATTTACTTCTGTTGTGTAAACTGTGTAACCAAAAAAGGAACAATTTTATCTCTTCTGCGGTTTTCATAGCAGCGACTGTTCAGACTGTCGTCTCTTTGGTTGTGACATCATATAGTTTTTGAGCCTGATACTGATGTTTCAGAGGAATATGTTGCATCCATCATCAGGGCTGAAGTTTGCAATGTAAGGAACTGGTTGTTACACAAGTAGGTTCCAAGGAAGGTGGTCACTGAACATCCAATGGGGGGAGGGGGGGAGGAGGAGACAGTCTGGGCTAATTGACCAGGGAAGTATGAAAGGTGAGATTTCCAGGAACACAATACTGTGAAGAATAGCTTCACATGAAGAAAATCAGCACTGCTTAATTCACTATACTACTGAAGAAAGAGAGAACAGTACCCTCCCATTTCAGGCTCTTTACTGTAGTCTTCTGGATTATGACAGCAATAAGGATGTTTCAGAGGAACCACCACCTCCATCTTCATGGAGTCTTAATGTCCTCCTAATAGAATACATGCTGCCATAACCTAGGTGACCACAATATGAATCATCATAGCCAAGGGAACATCAAAGCTTATATATATGTACTTTACATTTACTTTGCACTGGTGACCACAAGGTTATAAACCAGCACATTATGAGTGTGAATACAATTTCTTCAAACTAAATTCCACAATGTTTGACATGATATATAAAACCTAATTTTAATTTTTTAATAAACACCCAAATAGTTATTGCAATTGGCATGTGTGTTAACATATTACAATTTCAAAAATATCCATACCAGCTTAAAGAGAGAAAAACATTTAGTTACCTATGCTGGAGTCTATGAAACTGAAGACACTCATAAATCATTTAGCAATCCAAAGAGAAAGAAAGTTTAAGAGCATAAATACTACTTACAGAATCTAACAATATCCATAATTTTACAGTGAATGGATCAAGAAACCTGGTTCATGACTGTATTCACTAAATCAAATTAGCTATATGAAGCAAGGTTCTTCTTGAGAAGTTGCTAACTGACTCAGGTGGCCAAGAGATTTCCCATGGAATCCATGTTCAGTAGAACATGTCACTGGACACTATCCTGAACTAGTACAATCCAATCACCTCCCTCACCCTATTTATTTGATCTATCTTAACAGTTTCATCTCATTTCTGTCTAGACATCCTAGGTGGTCTTTCCCATGAAGTTGTACACCAACATTCAGTATGAATTTCTCATGTTCCCTATATCTGCAACACGCCTTGATCACATGATCTCCCTGATATTATCACCCTAGTAATGTCAGTTATTGTACTGTTATGTATAGCAAGACATACATATATACTGTAGCATGTAGGCTTGTTGCTAGGCAATGACTACAAAACAAACAACTAGACAATGGCTGTTATTAGGCAACTGACCATAAACAGCAACAGAGGAACAGTGTTTTCTGTGCGGTCCATGCCAAGATGTCATAATTTATGAATTATGTATGTATGTGAGTGGTAAGCTTCACACCACTGCCGCTTTACCCCCTAGAAAAAAGCCCACCAGTACCCACTGAACAGGAGGTATTAGATAAACAAATATAATAAAACAAAAATGGGTAATGACCACCAAGAAATATATTTTGATATTCAGGTGCTCGATTTTTATACAAATTATGAACAGCAACAATAATACTGACTGATAATTAGTAACACAAAGAGCTGACACAAAAGTTATGTTAGAATTATGGGGATGTGTTGACCTGAAAGAAAAGACTCTATGAAATGTCAATGAAAAGGAAAAACAAACACAACACAACATTTCGTCTCCACTGGAACATTCCAAAGTACAAGTTTCTCAGATTCTTCACCTACATATCCACATATCATACTGAAAGCCATGCACATTGAAACATTCACTGCCACCAAGACCAAACTACTTGGAGGATGCGTTAACATCTATTACTTATTCCTTTCATTATTTTTGGTTAGAAAATTTAAAAAAGGTGGTATATTATTTGTTGACAAACAGCAATTGTGTGTTACACTTCAAAAAAAGGTTACTCTATGGAGTTAGCACAGAAATATTACAGTAATAATAATAAAAACAAAGGTTAGCATCAGAACTAAACTCTTTTAACTGTAAGCACTCATAATAAATACAACAGATGCTACATAAAATTTTACTGAAAATTTAAATATGACACATAACATATAACTGTAACTGACAGTAGTACAGATATGCAAGCGAAAAACTTATATCTACCACTAATAAACACAAAAAGGAAGTCTTTTAAGGCAATACAAAACAAATTTAAGGCATATGTAGCATGGGTACTTTATAAACCAAAATGGAATTAAGGCGATAACAGTTTTTACTCATTTTCATGAAACTCCGTAATCAGAATGGTGCTATGATGTGTACGTATACAGTCAACAGAAAAACTACATTGGACGCTGCTAAATATTTGTGAAATATAACAGAAATTAATATGACAACCAACTACTTACCTGCAACTGTTCCTTTTCATACATTAATTACAGAATTAAAAGTTCTTCCTAAATCCTGAGTATTAATACAGTCATTTAAGGACAGTAACTGTAACTATGTTAATATTACTAAAATAAGTTTTTGAAAAAAGAGCAGAAATCATATGACCCAACATCCATAATGAACATACAACTGGAAAGAATGCATCCTAAACATTTCAGATTAAACAACTGTGAAGAGTAGGCCATATTCCCCATCCCAAGCCTGACTACTATAGATGTCAAAAATGTCTGCATAAGTTAATTTGATTCTCCAGCAAGCCCTTATATATGAAACTATATTTGTTTATGGGACTGGTGTCTTTTCACATATGATCCAGACTAGAAGGTATGGTGGAGAAAGAAACATGGCTTCCAAGATGGCACAACGGTACAATTCTCAAATGTAACCTTACACTAATCTCATGTTCAAAAGGATATGTTTCACGCTCAATGCCATATTCCTGAAAATATCTTTGAGCTTAATGTCATGATCAAATGATGTAACATAAACCTGAACATCACCCACAGAATTGTGCTTCAAGTTGATCCGGAGAAGCAACTTTCACAGTCACTGTCATTATTCATAAAAGTGAGTTCATGTTCAAGATTAATGCACTGATCCAATGGGTTTCCAGGTCATGGCTGAAGGTCTTCATGCCTGATGTCATAAGCCAAACACATGGCTAAAGGATGTATTTCTTGGTATAAAAATGGGTCTTTGGAATCAATATTACGATTCTGAGAAATGGCTTCTGAATCAAATTAAGTCCAATTCTATTATACAGACCCACAGCAGGGGCTTCAAGCTGAGAGTTACCAGTCAGAGAGCAGGAGCTAAAAGTACAGTCCTGTAATCTAAAATGGTAGCCTCAGTTAGTGTCATAATCTGCAGTGGCACTGTAAGCTACAGGGACAGCTTCAGGTGCAGTGTTACAATCCGCAGTAGCAGTTTCAGGTATGTTATAATCCACAGTAGCAGTTTCAGGTTCAGTGTTATAATCCACAGCAGCAGTTTCAGGTATGTTATAATCCACAGTAGCAGTTTCAGGTACAGTGTTATAATCCACAGTAGCACTTTCAGGTACAATGTTATAATCCACAGTAGCACTTTCAGGTACAGTGTGATAATTCAGTGGGGCAGCATCAGATACACTGCTATAATCAACAGTAGCAGCTTAATTTACAATGTCATAGTCCACAGCAGCAGTTTCAGATACAGCGTAACAATCCACAGCAGCAGTTTCAGATACAGCGTTATAATCCACAGCAGCAGTTTCAGGTACAGCGTTATAATCCACAGCAGCAGTTTCAGATACAGCGTTATAATCCACAGCAGCAGTTTCAGGTACAGCGTTATAATCCACAGCAGCAGTTTCAGATACAGTGTTATAATACACAGCAGCAGTGTGAGGTTCAGTGTTATAATCCACAGCAGCAGTTTCAGGTACAGTGTTATAATACACAGCAGCAGTGTGAGGTTCAGTGTTATAATCCACAGCAGCAGTTTCAGGTACAGTGTTATAATACACAGCAGCAGTGTGAGGTACAGTGCTATAATCCACAGTGAGAGCTTCACCCACAATGTCATAACCCATAATATCTTCAGGCACCCTGTCATAATCAGCAGTTGCAGCTTGAGGTGAAGTGACGAAATCCATCGAAGGGGCTTCAGGTACACTATTACAATCCATAACAGCTCCAAATTCAGCATTATAAACCCCACCAGCCTCTGGCACACAGACTTCTGGCTTAGTATGTTTAATGGTCATCTTATTAAAAGAGTAATAATTATTATCTGAGGATTCAACTGTGTTTGAATTAGAGGCATTTATTCCACTGTTAAATTTCCTGGAATACGTTTCAGTTTCATAAGAGATTTTAGAGTCAATTAACTGTGGCTGCAACACAACTGCATCAGCTTCAATAACATATGCTTTGCAAAAATGTTCAGTCCAGAATCTGTTACCAGTATTAGAGTCAGAAACACGTGTACCAGTATCAGAATCCGCATAAACTCCATTATAATTATTTCTGTCATCTGTAACATGGCACTGTTGTCTTGTGAGACTGTGATAAGAGTAATCATTGTTCTTTGTATCAGGCTGTGACTGAAATAAATGAGAATAAAATTCAAGTAATTTGTTTTCGGGGTCAGAGACTTCTTGCTGATAAGCAGACTGAATAGACATATTCTGGGTTGCCATATGTATAATGTCATTACAATCATCAGAATTCACTCTATGAATCTGAGCTCTGTGATCATTGATTTCTGTACCACAACAAAGAGGAACTGAGGACTCAGAATTATGTGCAGTAATGGCACGATGACCAAAATTACTACATTCTTCAGCAAAGTTAGGGGTATCCAAGCATTCAGTCCACTTAAGTTTCTTGGAAGAGCATTTAATGCGAATTTGGGCAGCATGCAAGTCCCTGCAATCTGGATCACACAGAAGTGTGCGTACTGTTTTCTTTGCACATCCCAATCTATGCATAACAGCATGAGCACCTGTAAGATAAACGCCAAACCAGGTGTGCAAACATTCACATAACACATGTGTGAAAATTATTTAGAATTTGTTATTACTGTCATACAGAACAACAGGATTTCATGTACTTCACAGTAGCAGTTACAGAACAGACTGGGTACAGCTGCTCCACAAGATATCTGTTAGGATAATTATTATTTTTTTTATTACTGCTAGTGGGGTGGGACTAAGTCCCTTGTACTGCGGCCACTTCTGGCCTATTGTACCAGCCCCAGATGAAAGGTGAGGGTGATTGTGGAGCAATTGGTGGAATGAAGATTGGCAGGGGAAACTGAAATACTCGGAGAAAACCTGCCCCAGCGCCACTTTATCCACAACAAATCCTACTTGACCAGACCCAGGATCGAACTCAGGCTGCCGCAGTGGTAAGCCAGCAACTAACCGCTTGAGCTATGGCGCAGCCCTCTGTTAGGATAAAGCAAACACTTCAGAAACAGAACACTTAACTAAGTTCTGCATTCAAAGCAATAGCCCCTGAAAATCCTTGAACAATTTTAATATATTACTTCAGTGTAACTTGTATCACTTGTTAAAAACTACAAATATAAATGAATCATTCAATATTAATCGAGGAAAAACTGGTCAGCTTTGTTTACTAGCATCCCAAGATAAAGGTTGTTTTATATGAATGGACTTGCAATTGTGAAAGCCCCTACAATACTGGGGCCAAGTAACTTTCCTACATGCCTTTAACTTGAAATTTAAAACAAAAAGTCCTCACCCTGCCAATTCAGTTTACGACGCCATATAGGTGAGGTATTAGCCTCACAATTCCCCTAAGCACCACAAAGGATCACAAATTATAAAAAAAGAAAAACGCTTATACTGAATAATATGTAAAGAGAAGGACCCATATACATCAATCACATTTATGATAGTCATATTTTGATAATTTAGAAAATAAATCTGTAAGACAAATAGTACTATCTTCTGGGACGTAACGGCATATAGTCTGGTAGAAGTTCATGACATTTCAGAGAAACAAACTGCCTCAGAATGCCGTCTGCTTCTTGGTTTCCTGCTTGGCTTATTCTTCAGCCAAAAAGATGGAGGCAGTATATTCCTCCTAAATGCAAGTGAAATTTTACTGGACTACAGAGTATAATATCCTAGACAGTAGTATACTCTTCAGTCACCAATGTGGAAACCTCAAATCCCACAGCCTGTTAGATATTACTAGTAAAAGGTCCTAAAGATGTATTATGTTCTGTGACAATAACAACAGAATTCTGAAATAAGAGTGTCACCACATTTAAGGCAAATACCATGTTCCACAAACAAGACATTCTCCTTCCATACCAAGCAAAGGTGCATACCTTTACATAACTTCACACAATAATACTAAGCTATAAAAGGGGGTATACTTCAAGCAAACCTTTCAAACAATATTCCAAAACCATAAGCCAAGGTTAAACACCACAGAGCCACAATACTTTAACACAAGGCTGTCCAACTTACACTGATGGGCCACAATATGCTTTAGATACCTAGAAGTAGGCCATATTATATATATAAAAGTCCTTTCCAATATACTAACATAAATATATGTCCAGCAATGATCAGATCTGTGAAGCCCAATAATAAGAACTGAACCCACGAAGTCCAAAAATATTTGCATAAATTAGTATATTGTAATGCTACATACCAAATTTAGAAAAATTGAATGAACTTGCATATAATCAGAGACTTCTATTATCCAGTGTCTTGTAATTTTAATTTAAAAATGTGGTCACATTTAGTAAAGTTCTTTTGACCAGACATGACATTTCTTTTGAAAAGAGGAAAGTTTAACACACATTTTGGAGAATGAAAGGATACTGTTGCAGACTGCAAGAAACAAAATGATGGCCCAAAAGCGGGACAACCCTGTTCTCCTCCACCATCTACCCTGCTTCAGCAACAGTTTCTCTGGCCAATTACTTAAATTAACTTAGAAAAAAAAAAGTTGTCAGCCACTCTCCACTTACACTATTATGTAAAATGCTTCTACATCCAACCCAGTGTTTATACAGAACTACAATACATGGCTGCTACTTATGACCTGCAAAGCTAATCTGAAACCACTCTTATAAACCTTTGTGCACTTCAATATTCTGACAGCTGCAATTTCTACACCCCTATTACAAATAACCTTTACTGAAACAGGGTATTTAGAGCCCAGGGACCATCTAATGTTGCATCCTTATGAACTACATATGGTAATATGCCCTGATCTACAGTAGTACCTTCAATGCAATGTAAGAAAAACTGGATAGGAATGGGAGAGAGACAAAGAGTGGTGAAATATAATGCTGAAAGAAAAGCAGCAGCAAGCATGTACCTTTCTCCCATACACCACTGCTGTGGTGTCACTCTGTAAAACAACAACATAATGGTGAACACCACATAACATATTTATGACATAGTACGCTCTTGGTTATCAAATAAACATGCAGAGAGTACAGTGACACTCCAATTTAAGGTTTCTTTTGTGTGTGCTGAACAGGTGCTGCAGGTTTACTTGACCTTCTATGAAGGAACTTCACTCAGATTACTGGTTTTGGATCACCAAAATGGAATGTTAAATGGGGGTACCACTGTACTGTCAATTTGGTTTCCTATCTCATATTGCTGAAAAATGAAATATGCAGGCAGAATAACTGGCTTCCATGAATGCTATGATTTCCACATTTACAGAATATGGACATTTATGTGATTTAATAACCTGTTTCAGAATAACAAGATAAGACAATAATCTCATCTAACAGGTTTACTTAATGACTTCCTTAACCAACTATGTATATTACTGAAAGTGCATGGTAGATACAAAGTACAGCATATTCTAAGAGCTTAATTAAAATATTTCTTGAAATTTCCATCTGATCCCAAATTAATCTGGCTTAAACAAAAAAATTATTTCTTACAGTATTTACAGTAAAGATATGAAATAATATAGTTCTACATGGGGAAATGTTGGGGGAAAACTGAAATTTAAGGAAATTTCTTGAAAAAGATACACATTCAAGACAAGAAGACATATTAAAATAATTTTAAAAGTACAGATTTTAGGGAAATAATCAAGAGTTGACTGCACAATTATGCCGTCATATTTGCTTCCTCAACACAACAAGCAAAAATATTTCTTTGTGCAACACTTTAAATCATACACACAATCTTACACTCTGTAGTGCAGAGTACATAACAAAAAACACAGAACACAAAAATGTCACAATATAGTAAACATTTTCCTGACAATTTCTCTCACATTAAAAGATCATAAATTCAGCCATGGGGGGATACTGTCACAGTTCAATTATCTGTACTTAAACCACCTCTTCTTAAAATTATATAATTAAGTTGGAAGTATGAAACAAAGTTTCTAACAACACAAAATGTTAAGACATCTCGAATAATTAATAACATCTAATCAGCTGCAAATGGGCAAATGTCATTCATGCTTAAACAATACTTAAATGTTTCTATGCTGATTCCTAAGGCAACATTATATAGTTTCTTATATAGGAAACAACTCCATACATGAGAAAATAAATGAAAGAAAAACTAATATTACTTATGTGGCTTGAGGTAAGGGAGGAATACAGGCATGGTATGTCTGTAAACTAACCTTACCTTTCTTTGTCTTGTCCCGACCCAGAGACCATGAGCGTCTGAATTGCCCTGAATCATCGGCAGTTTCTGGAGCTAGAGCAGGCAACAACACATCATGCAACAACTGAACAGCATGCAACAGCAGGCACAAATATTCTAAACATCAGATCTAACCATGTCCGAGCTTCTATATGCTTGATACCTATTCGGGGACACAGCTTTTACACAGAGTCCATTTTTATAGAGGTTAAATATGACTATAATATTATTTCATTGACACAGAAAACTGGAGTGTATCTTTGCTTGAGCTACATAGGAGATTGAAAGACACATCTGGTGCCGCAGTACTGGTATCAATTTTCTGCACAATATTGAAATTATTTTAGTAAAGCTGATTTTACACTAACAATTTTCAGTAACTAGATTTGTGAAATGTACCTTAAGTTCTTTAGTAGTGTCATGAGAAGCAAACAAACAAAATGTTATTACATTGTCATGCTGGCCTCTTCAAAGATAAGTTGTACACTTGCAGGCTACCAAGACAATATCCTTCATAAGATTTTCATTAATTTGATAGTGCATGGAGAGTGGGTTTCTGACACTATAAAAAAATCTTTCCTACCGCGTAATACAGATATGAAAATAAACCCATCATTAAATACTAAAGTGAACTAAAAATTTCATCACAAACCCTACAGAAAGATTATATTATGGAAATATGATCCATCTGAGATACTGGTAGTGTGTATATTTCACATTAATTTCACTCTGAGTTCACTAAAACAATAAAAAGAAACGAATATATCAGTCTTTAATTGCAGCAACACATAGGAGCTAAGTATATGCGGCAGTTCAATGTTTGAAACACATACCAATACATGAAGTGATTAAAATACTTTTAAATGTTGTTTTAAGAACAGTTTCAACACACTAAATCTGATAATATCAGCATCAACATAATACCGCATCCATGCCTTAAAATTTGAAACCTAATAGAAATAAAATTATTTCATTCTTTTCAAATGACTGTTTGATTTCTAATTTAAATGGAAGTTGCAAGTTTTTCGTATACCATGCAATATTGTGAATTACACAAACAAAAATAGCCAAAGCATGCAACATACTATTTTAGTAAGGAAAGCAAACTAATTCTACCAACATTAGTAACTAGTAAACTTCAAGCATAACATCTATACATTAAGAATACCAGTGTTTCTCAACCAGTAAGACCTATTAGACAATTGGATGGGATGTGTGGTCTCGAAAATAAGGCCATCATCAATGACTAATTTGAGGCAGATGATTGAGAATCACTGCTACAGACTATGAAGAAGCAAGTATGAAATCCTATATTTAGTAAACACTTTTTCTGGTCTCAGCCAAAGTCCAATATAAACAATGTATCACTTTCTCATATTCAGTGAATTTTGATTTAGTAAATAAATAACCTGAATTTAGTGTAACAAATTCTCTATCTTCCAGAACTTGTACATCAACTGGTGCAACTGCAGTAGAAACAACAATCAAAGTTAATGTTTCTGGCAGGAACTATTACCACACAACCATAAACTTTGGTACGTGAAATCTCTAAAACCCCACCAATTGAGGCATCATATTGCCTCTTGTTCTCAACAGAGCTTCTTTCAGTGTTTGTGTCACAGCATTAATTATTTTATAAACTAATTTGACATAACTATGTAACCATACTTTCCAGTATAGACACGGTTTCTTTAACCACATAAGAAATTATCTTTCATAATTGTACCCAGCAAGATTTCAAGAAGACAAACAATTTCAACATGTAATTTTATGTAACACCATTTAGAGAAAACATTAATTTAACATAAGAAAAGCCATTCCCTCAGCAACTCATTAAATACAAAATTCACTGTAAATGTATCTGCACTTTAACCTTTAACGGCCGAATGTTATATATATATGCAGCAAGCAGCAACCCGAGTTAGCCTACGAACCTATGTGGTTTTAAAAAAAAATTAACTATTGACAATAAGGGTTTTTTAAATAACATCTAGAAACTTTTAAAAACTTCACAACAGCAGGAAGCTGCTGTGATTGTGAAACGTTCGATTTTATGCATACTGTGCATTATAGGATATAAGTGTATGTATTTTAAATCAAAACACCTATTTTGATGGTAGTTTCCAGTTTGTAATGATGTTCCCTCTGAAGATGGCCCGTAAGGACCGAAACATGTAAGGGAGATAAGTTTTAATGTAGTAAAAACTTATATGTCACATTGGACGGAGCGGTTTGTATTTATAATTGTTAGTGTGACGGACCAGAATGAAACAAATCAAAAATGTTTATGACCTGGTCAGCCAAATATAGCCCAGCTTAGTTTCAAGAACTGATGAGGAAATATTCATCGGTGCTTGCATATGAGTGCTTCCAGAGCCTTCAAGGAAGTGTGACACATTCAAGGATTGGTTTTCAGTGACGAATTATCAGTCAGGAAGTCACTGTCAGATTGTCTAATATTTCTTTATCAGTTAGAAAGTCAGTGTCAGACTTTCATATATTTCTTTGTATATCATTTTTATTTTGTGTCTGGGAAGAGGTATAAACCTACTGAGCCAGTATTACTTTGTGAGTAAAAGGCATATTCGCCACTGTAACTTTCGGTATCAGTGTCAGACTGGCACCATTTTCGACTAGTATTATAATTACTTTGCATCACTAGTTTGCAAGTATTACTAATAGGTGAGTGTGTCGCTTTGTCAATCACCATAATTTATTCGATTTTGCTAGAACCCCCCTCCCCCAAGACGATTCTTCAATCGCAACAAGGCGAATATCATGGTCAGTGGCGTTTCTCGGGGGAGGCCAAGTTTATCTGGGGCCCAAATGAGTCGACTGCAGGTGAACCATTCACAACACTGGCCAACCAGAAGGAAACAAAGACGTGTGTTTCGCTAAATAAGAAAAGCAGGAGCACGCTCTTCTATTGTAAAAAGTGCGATGTCGCTTTGTGTGAGGTGGAATGCGCGTCAGAGTGTATTGTAAACTGTGAAGTGATGCAGTTCAAACTCGTGTACAGTCTGAACAAAATATTATTGTATATAGTGTGATTATATTTACAATATCACCATGATTCAATGTTGAAGAAAAAACAATGGGCAAGTCCTTTGGAATTTCATAATATATATAATAAAGATTATATTTTGCAATTCATGATAAAATAATCACAGTTAACTTTCGTTTGTAAAAATTGCTCTTTTGTGAATATGTAGAAAATTTTATTGTCTTTCAGGCTGTTTTTAGTTCGTATTTCTATGTTGCATAGAACGGAAAATATGCATTTTTTCTGAAAGTTTGCAATGTTAATTAATTAGGATGATTTAAATACTGGCCGCAGAGGGCTGCTGGCATTTTAAAAGTCCGTACGTTAAAGGTTAAAGGCACAAGACGAATGTGAGCTCCCAGTAGCCTAAGAAAGAACTGCATTTATATATATACAACATTTTTTACAGGAACTTTTAATTATGGTACGTTAGTATGTTGCATTTATTACATCTATTTGTTTAACCTCAAAAAGAATTCAAACAAAAGAATCTGAGAAAATACAATAATGCCTGACTTCCTCGAACTGCCTCTGTAGAAGTTTAAAATGAGATATAGCAACCCAACTAAACTGATAATAAAGTGAAATTACTGTAAATTTCACTGGCAGCTTTTGGTGACACAATTAGGAGAAAATTAAGAAATGGAGCAGATGGGTGTTATCAATTATGGCCAAATTCTGAGAAAAGAGATAAGTGAGCATTAATATATGCATACACAGAAAAATAAACAGACAGCTTCTTCCACGTTTCTGAGAGTCAAAGAAAACTCAAGAGGCTTGAATACCCATAACCAATTAGTAGGAAATATCTGACGCATGCTCTGAGATTTCTAATAACCTTAATACTTCCATTTATGCTCACTCAGTTGAAATATTACAGCAATACATTCTCTACATCCACTGAAATGTAAACACATGTTCCAATAAGCAACTGACAGTGCTAAGTAATATCAGATTATATTACATAATGCAAGCATTTAGTACGGAGTTCTGTTTCAAATTGTGTTTTTCTTTCCTTCTCATTTAAAAAAAAAAACTGATATAGACTACAGGAACTTTTTTCTGAACACCACACTGAAAATGTTTAATACAATTATATACACAAATTTACTCAGATAATGGGAGGGGAGTACAGTTGTTCTCTACAAGAATTAGTATCCACTATAACAATTATTATACAAATGAAGCAATTATAATGGAAAAGCATATATTTTATTATTTCAAAGTTCCTACAATATGCAACGAGAAATTGTATTATTCAAGATTTCATTTTCTGAAAAGCATCCCTTCAATTATGACTCCGAAATGTTACTTCCCAAGTCACTTAAATTCATGAACTCCAAAGTACTGGGAATATACAGGCTACTGGGAACCCCATAAATAAGTAATAATTAAAAAAAAAAAATCAAACTCACCTTTTGCTGGGTAGCGAAGTGACATGGAGCGCTCGACATTCGGGTCAGGAAAATCAGAATCAGCTTTGAAACAGACACAAATGACAACATACACACTGAAAAATGCACCATGCTCTCTTATGCTTCTTTTCTCATAATGGTCTGTACAAATACCAGAGTCCCGATAGCAACAGTTTCTAACTACTAGTGTCCAAACGTCAGTAATCATCAATGTACTTAACATATTCCCTAATTCATGGAATGATAAGGTAAGGTGCCCACTGTTTGCTTGTCCCATTCTGACTAACTCCATGGAGCTGAGACCTTCTTGAAAAGCCACTAGTTGTGCAGCTGCTCAAGAATTTCCCAACATTTTATGGAACCTGAAGGTTCATTACCATGTTCACAAGAGCCCTCCACTGGTCCCTATCCTGAGCTAGATCAATCTAGTCCATATCACCCCAACCTAGCTCTCTAAGATCCATTTTAATATTATCCACCAACCTACATCTTGGTCTTCCTAAGGGTCTCTTTCCTTCTTGTTTTCCCACCAATATCCTATATGCATATACAGGATGTTTCACGACTTTAGGGCATAACTGCAGGAGGTGATTTCCTAGGTCTTTGTGATCAAAAAAGTTAATATGAACATGTGTCCGATTTTGGACGCTTACGGAGTTATGACCGTTTTAAACTCAGAATAGAAGGTAACAATTACCGACAATAAACGGAACAAAATAATAAACCAGCATAATATATCATACATTTAAAGTATGAATGCAAAGTTAACTTCGTGAAATTACCTTTAATTTGAATTGATTGGTGCTTAAAGCTGATTTTCGAAAATGTCACCACCGGCCGCAACACAGGCTGCCGCTCGGTTGTGAACCGCGCCGGCCATACCAACCCCTCCCGCTTTAGGTAGCTCTCAAGTGTTGTGATAATGAGAACCCTCTGTCTGTAGCTGGCTAAAAATAGCGACCTGCCAGCTGACAGACGTGGTTCATACGAGGGTGTGTACGGGAATGAAAAAATGGTCATAACTCCGTAACCGTCCAAAATTGGACACATGTTTATATGAACTTTTTTGATTACAAAGACCTAGGAAATCACCTCCTGCAGTTATACCCTGAAGTCCTGAAACATCTTCTCCCCCTTGCATGTTACGTGCCCTACCCATCTCATTCTCCCTGACTTGATCACTCTAATTTATACTTGGTGAAGAATACAAGTTATGAAGCTCCTCATTATGCAGTTTTCTACATCCTCCTATCACTTCATACCTCTTTGGTACAAATATTCTCCTCAGCATCCCATTTTGAATGTAAATCACATTTTCAACACATCCCATTCATCTACTTCCAAAACCACTACAGAACAGTCGCCACTGAATGCTACACAAGGACAATCCCCAGCATGACGTTTATTCAGAAATCCAGCAATAAAAATGCTGATGGCATGTCCATGTGATTTTCTGGTACCTGATGCATAGAAAAAAAAAAGACAAATCTTAGCTGTTTTTCTGGGAATACTTTACAAACTTCGCTATGAGAACCACAATCTGGTGTCCCATAACACGGTGCAAACTCCCTTCATTCTTTCAGACAGCCATCAAGGCTTGAACACTTGGAGATAAAATATGAACTCCTCATTACATTACAAAGTTGCATTTCTGTATCACCAATGTTACTAACCAGGTACCTGGTGCCTGCAATTCAGACCAAACTAAACTTGACACTAAAGTGAGGAGAATTCTGTAACTTCATGCTCTTGGGAGCAAGAAGGTATCACACTCAGCCACTTGTGCCAATTTGTGAACTAATTAATGTCAATTTAAAATGCTTGCATCATGCATATGACCCAGTTCTTAATTGCAGTAATATCACAGTATACCATGCAAAATAAAATGGTATAACCAAATTAAATTGGAAGGAGACCAATTCACTTACCATCAAGACATAAACCAAAGGTGCCCATGACAACAATGAAAGGTAAATATTACCTTACACTACACAACAACCTAGCAACAAGATTTCCTGGTTCATGCAAACCTAGACTACACATACTTATGGCTGCAGTCCTGCAACCAGAATAGAGCTACTAACCATCACTGAGGACAACTTCGGCTTGGCTAGGTCGCGGTACCTGTTTTGTCTCTATCCGCAACACTCGTGGCTCTGCAAAACAATGGATGTATCAAAAGCCTTATTTGTATGTAACACCTACTAACAATCAGTGTAAAGAGGGTACAGTATGGCATAATGATTTTTGGTTGTCATCAGGTCAATGAACAAATGATGACACAATGTTTATGATATTAAATGCAAAACAAAAAATACTATCAATCAAAGTGAGTAGTGTATCAAGGCACATATCTTTTTTTTTTTAATTCGCTTAGTGGGGGGTGGAGTTCAACTGGATCCACTCGGCATGGCGGCCACTGATTGGCCTATTGTAGCCTGCCCTGGGTGATTATGATGATGGAGAAATTGGTGTAATGAAGATTGGCAGGGGAAACCGACTTGGAGAAAACCTGCCCCACTGCCACTTTGTCCAGACCTGGGACTGAACCCGGGCCGCCACGGTGGGAAGAGAGCGACTAAATGCTTGAGCTATGGTGCAGCCATAAAGGTACATAAGTTTATACAACAAACTTCCCATTGAGTTTTCAACAGGCATCACATTATTACTGTGATGCAAGACCCATTGCTAGGCAAGGCCTGCAACAAGTTTAGCAGTTGAAGCAGAATTAGAAGTCAGTCTGTAGAGACTTAGTTTGTGATCACAAGATTTAGTCATAGTGAGACTGCTTTTAATTCCATTACAGGATATAACTAGTGAAGATTAGCAGGGGAAACCGAAGTACTTGGAGAAAACATTCCTCAGCACCACTTTGTCCACAACAAATCCCACTTCACCAGACCTGGGTTTGAACCTGGGCTGCCGTGGTGGGAAGACAGCGACTAACCGCTTGAGCTATGGCGTGGCCCCCTTCTCACTATACTTATCAAGAGTTCTATCTTCTGGGACATAACACTGTGTAGCAAAGACATTTTGGAGTAACATGTTGCCTCCCTCTTCAGCAACTAAAGCACAAGGCAAGTAAGAAACCAACATGAAGTAGGCAGCAGAGACATTTGCTTGGCTTACTCTTCAACCCTGAAGATGCAGATGAAATGTTTCTCTGAAATGAGGATAACTTAAAACTGAGTACACAGTGTTGTATTCCAAAGATAGAAATGTTAACATGGAACTATTTCTTTACAGTTAAAATTCTCTTACTGTGTGTAACTTCATGTCCACTGTGCATGTTAATTAATATCAAAACAAATACTCCTTTTGGAATGTTCTAGCTCTTGATCTGATTCCCCTCCCTGGTAAATATTTCCCTTAATACGCATGGCAGCGTGGGACACATTTCATTGCATGGCAGCATGTATCAAGTGTCATAAAAATCTCAAACAATGAGACACATTTCATTGGTGACGCCTGACAGCTGGGTGGGATACGAGCCTTGAACATATGAACTTAATGATGAGTACATCGATACATTAATATATGACTGTAAAATATTCTTCTCTGAAAGGGAGAAACTATCCTAACTAAAGTGGAACTATGATTTCTTGACAAAAATTATCAGTGGAATATATGATGTGAAGGATTTAGAATCACTGTACTAGATGGCTGGAAACGGAATCCACAGATATTAAATTTAATTTTTAAACAAGTACAATTTTTATAACGAAAACTAATTTAAAGCCAAAATAATCTGTACTTCTAGCACAACTATACAATAAGAAAAACACACACGCAGTCTTCTGAACAGAAAACTGACGAAGCCGAAAGTGCGCTTACCATCTCTGCTCTCTTCTTCCGTTTCACTGGCTGCAGACATGGGTGAAGTAAGGGGCGATTTCATGAGGCCTAGGCTCCCATCATTGGTCGGCCGGCTATTCTGGAGTGACGATGAAAGAGGTTCTGATTCAGACTGGTCCTCGTCAACTGAAGACAATAAAATGTTTGTGAAATCTGGAGTTTTTATGGCAATGACTATGGAGATCACTCTTTCCTGAGATGTGACACAATGTAGTTTGGTAAACCGATATCAACATCAGCTGCCTCCTGAAAATGGATAATAACGCACGCGTCCACTTTCAACTCAGGCTGTCACTTCCCAAACCCACTTCCACTGTATTCCATCCAACATCCTCATAGTTTCCCAGTACCCTAAATCAATTTAACTGATGTGTACTTCAAAGTTTATTTTTATGGTTGTTATACAAATATCTGTATAAACTGCCACCTGCAACTCCCATTTAAATGCTGATTTAAGGTTTCCCCTCATTTAATATTCAATTTCACTGACCCCCAAGTCAGCAATCTTGGTGTTACATTTCCTTAGTTCAGTATTCAAAAACACTCCTCCCCAAGCAGACTTGAAATGTAAGCATATTGTATGATTACAAAATTCGGCTGTACTTACATGACTCTCCCTTCTGTTTCCTCTCTACAACCTTCTTGTATTCCTCCAGCTCCTCATCTGTGATCGTATCAAATGGATTCTTGGCATATGGTGTCTTGTAGACCATGGCATTGTGCTGAAATCCTCGCTGAATGATTCCCTTGGACGCGGCTCCCACTAGGATAACCTGGTCCCCTGTTGCCGAGATGTTTGCATCCTGTGTTTGATGATGATGACAAATATAAGATTTCAACAAATGAAGATGTCATTTCATACTCATTACTGCATCAGACTGGTTTATGCTTTTTATACAAGAATGATATTCTGCGCCTTACATTCTACATTATCCTGGCATTTGTCTTAGGTATTGATAAAACGACATTAACTTCCTGTCAGTTTATGTACTGTAATAAACATTCAGAACTTTGATGTTCAAAAATTGGTGCCACGTTATATAATGTACCTTTCCGAATTCAAAGAGAAGAGATGCGGTGGTGACACATGATAAAAGCATTGTGAATATGGTGTTTAAGTTTAATAAAACAATCAAGCATACAGCAGTAACAACAAAAACCACTCTTGAGCAATGGAGTGAAAAATTGACTCTCCAGAAACATGAGATGCGTATAACTCACAAGAGATGGTTCCCTACTGTGATGGAGGAATCGTCTTGGATTTCAAAATAGGAAATCACCAATATTTCTCGTTCATAAGAAGTGAAAGAGTTTCCCATCCAGATATCAATGTACATATGCAAGAGAATATCTTTGCAGTTGATGAGAAATAGAACGGTATTTGATAATAATCACAATCAAGACAAAGTGATGTGCTGCAAGGAAGTTAAAATCCTGCTAAAAACCTTGTCGATTATAAATGAAACACAATACTATTCCTTGCCTCAAGAAGTGAAACTGAGGGGCCATGTATTTGTTATTGACAATACTATTCTCACCTGCAGTTTCTTGGCTTCTTCCCACGATACACCTTCTAAGATGTGTGACTGTGGACCTGATGTTATTTTGTCGGCACGTCTATTATCCTTAATCTGCAATGTGTAAGAATTGTGAAGAACTGCAGTATTGCAAGAAGCAAAGAGAAAATTACTACTACCATGAATACTGTGTAGTAATAATATTAAACCCTTACTAGTGTAAAAGCAATTTACAGTAACTCATATGGGTTGAACAATGTTGGTGAATATATGTTACTATAATCACTGCTTGTTAGATATTTTCAGTTGCTGCATTATTTGAGATTATACTAAATTTTTTAAATTATTTGTTATAACACTGTGTTTCTTTGGTGATTAAACAGGAACCTGCTGTTTTCATCATAAAGCTAGAAGACTTTATTGACAAATTCCCCAAAACCCCGGTTATCACATATGAAAATGGAGTGTTGTAATCCACAATACTATAATTTTAACACACTTTAATCTTCTAGGACATCTAACTGAACTCTGCATATTTAACTATTATTTTGTTTGCAAGCTTCTCATCTACCATATACTTGTAGTAGATATGGGGACAGCAACAGATCAGTTAATTAATATAATGAACACTTCACATCTTATAAGACTGACAACTCATGAACAGAGTCTGCACAGCTGCGAATAAAAGGAAAATCACTAATAAAGAAATTAAGCGCTGAAATGAGTTAGTACCCACAATATTCATTTTAGTTACTTACATCATGTTATCAGTTTTCTTCTTTAACTTATCACTCACTATTCACTGATATTGATGAGAACTGTTTATGAAATAATTGTGAGGTTAGGTGAGATGATTACGTATATGTTGATGTACCTCCCTCTAGCATTTAGATACTTTGTGTTGTGTTGTGTTGTGTGGATTATTTTTGTTATGTATCACACAGGTAGAAAGCTAGTTTGATCTACTATAAGAAAATGTGAGGAAAAATAATAATTCATTTTCTGTTGAATTTGTTTTCAATCCATATTTTATTTGCTGGATTTGATGTTCTCACAGTAGTAGTTATGAAAAGTTCTATCTTACAAGATGCATCACTGTACAGTCTATTTGAAGACTAGCAGCATTTGGAGGAATATGTTGACTCCACCTTCAGGAATGAACAGTAAGTCAAGCAAGAAATCAGCCTAAAGCAAGCAGCAAGTAGACCCTGCTTGCTGTAATCAATTTATAGTTTTTATATTTTAATGCCAAACAGTCTACTTTAAAACCACTGCAAATAAAGTGTTCTTTACCTGCTGCTGGAGCTTCTTAAATTCTCGAGGATCAGTGTTCTTGGGTACAAACTGCAGTGCACTTTCAATCCTCACCGGAGTGCTACTATGTGTCGGAGAGCCGTCTGTCACCCACTGCACACAGACAAAACCAGTGCATTAGGGACCATATATCGTATGGAATATAAACAATAACCACCACCACAACAGTTACTCTGACCAGAAAAGCCATGTGCCTGTTTTCATCTCAAATATCAAGCCCAATTTGTTAGGTTATAGTATTAATTATAATTATTCTGTTTCAGGTCCCGCATGTTCTGGTTTTGCTGTGGCACTGGCATACCAACAAACCAGTCTTGTTTAAAAAAAATCAGATAAATAAAGAAACATCTGTATGGATAGGAGAAAACAGGCACAGTATTTCAAAATCAGTCAATGTCTATGCAGATTTAATTGCCATATTATCAAGTTTCTGGCGTCTTCATAATCATATGATTTAAAATAATAATTACTCTTTGCATGCACTTTACTTGCGTCCAAGTTACAGATTATCATGATTATGATTTCATTTTCAAGCATACTATACTTGCACAGCTTACACATTTCAATATGCATACTGAGAGCATTAATATGCTCAAGGGAACTTTTAAACATGCTGCTGGAATACCTTTATGACAAGGTAAGGTAAAAGTAAAGGTAAAGTTGTCCCCATACTTAATTAGTTCAGCACTATGCCATGAAGACACATGGGAGGGGTGGAGGTGCAGTTCCAACATTCTTGACCTAGGCACTGTATGGAGGTGAATGGTCAGCTTCACACTACGGCCACTTACCCCCTAGAGAAAGAGCCCTTGGCACCCACTGGATAGGAGGATGGGTGGACCCCAAGTCTGGTCTGGAAGCTGTAGAGAGAGAATAATCTTGCACTGCTGGGAACTGAACCTGGGCCATGCAGTCCATAACCCATTACCAACTGAGCCATCCTGACTCTTGAAAGTAAGAGGCAAAGTTGTCCCTGTGCTTAATTAAGCACAGTGCCATAAAGCTGTATGAGGAACACCAGTACAGATCCAGACATTAACTTGGCAGCTAGATGGGAGGTGAGGGGTCGCCTTCCTATCACAAGGTCTTTTACCCCAAGAAAAGAAATCCCAGTATCCACTGCAGGGGAGGCCGGGTAGGCCCTAGAACCAGTCTGGTTGTAGTGAAGGCAATACACATTACCCTGTCAGGAATCAAACAGATCCCTTGGTCATCCACCCCAAGCCTGGACATTATGGCAACTTAGTTATCCTGGCTCTTCTCCATGGAACACTTTATATTTGCCTTTATGTGTACCTCTAATATTTCACAATGTGTATTTGAGATCTGAGATTCACATAGCCGTTACTATAAAGATTACTGTCTTTTGGGATGTGCCCCTGTGTGGTCTCTCAGACTGTTACCCATGTTTTAGAGGAACACAACATCTTCATCTTCACGGGTAGAGAGAAGATGAGGCATCTAACGTAATGAGGGAGACAGCAATATCCTCCAGAACTTTAGTAATGATCTAGCAGACTATAGCGGCACACACCAGAAGTGAGAATACTTAAAAGAACACCTTAGCTTCAATTGGCTACATGTGATGAACTGTGTGTCTGGTGGCAAGGAATGTATGGAGTTTATTACCATCATATGAATCACCTTCTAACTGTCAGGTTTCATGCTTTGGTAAGGATAAACTAGATAGTCAGCAGCTTAAACACATCTGAAAGGATGCAAAGATGTCTCCTTGGACTGCAGAAAAATTTCCATACATATATGTTCTGGTTATTTATGACCACAAGGGTGACAATATGGATCAATGAACCATCTGTTATGAATAACATTAACACTTGTCTTTATGAGGGCACAGAACCAGACTCATTATGGAATAAACCCACACCATTCAATAAACATAACCAATTACAACTTAATTTTTTGTAAACATATTGCCATGTGTAAGAGATGCAAATTTGTTACTGCATAAATGATAAGTGTTTTACAAATTAGGCAAATTCAATCTCTGTTTATACACAAAACATCCCACAGAAATAAAAAAGATGGAATCTGAAACCCAGAATTTCCATCCAGCACCGACAGGTATGATGAAGAAAGTATAAACAGCAGCATTCACCTGTCAGGAAACCTGGGACATAGCACATGCTTAAGTGTTAAAAAGATACAGAGGGGTTAGCTAAATGAGAGTCGCTGCCATAACCTTTATTGGGCCTCAATATCATAAATTTGGTAAGAAAGTCTCAGCTAAGGGAACCATTGGCAAGCATGCTCTATATGCCATGTCATAATACAACAGCCACCCAAGACTGGATAATAAGCTTTTGTGAAAATACCCAAGGTGTAAAGGAATCTTTTCACACAATAAACAACTTGGATACATATATCAAAATTCTGAAGTCAGTTTCTGAAGGGAAAACCTGTAGTTCTCTGAAGGAAAACCACATGTCAAACGTAACTCAGAAAATGGAGCAGAAACAAAAAGACAATTAAGAATTTCATATGGGATATTTAAAAAACAACAACTGAAAACTTGACTGCCCAACAGAAAAATCAAACAATGCAATGTTGGATTTACAATTCTCATGGCAGTGACCATGAAAGTACAGCCTTCTGGGTTTAACACTGTATAATCATAAAGAGCAAAACACTTTGGGGGGAACACACTGCCTCTGTCATCACAGTGGATGAGTAAGCCAAGCAAGAAGCCAACAAGATTAGTGCTGGTTTCCTGCTTTCACCCTGAAAATGAAAAGTAACATGTTCCTCCAAAACATCATGCTCTCTACAAACTACACAGTGTCATAACCCAGGTCATAATCTTCTAAGAAATATTAACTCCACAACACAGGAGAACAGACATTAGCAAGACGTAAACATTCTTAACACCTGGTAATTATTCAATACTGTTCTGCCATATGGTAAACAGAAAAGTAATTATGGTGCAGACTACAAACAGAATTAAACTGGTTATAACTGCTGGGTAAAATATACATTAACCACCAATTTCTGCACAGTCATACTGAGTAAGATGTTTGATTGGGGGGGGGGACTACATGCCTACTGACCTACTGAGAAATAAAGCTGACAGACAACACAACAACCATATGGACATAACATCTATGCTGTTTATTGCTTATGAATGAACTGTCATTAAGTGAGACTTGGAGACATCATGGCAGTGGCCATGGAGACTATTACCTTTTGTGATGTGACACCAGGTAGTATCATGTAAGTTTAATGAAGTTTTTTTTAGAAATGCCAGTGAACTTCTACCAAACCACCAGACAATGTGGTGTCACATTCCAGAAGACAGTATCATTATGAATCCAAATGCAGTAATAAGCAAGTAATTAGTGATCTCTAGTCTGACACAAAGGTACATCGAATGTTTGTGTTCTCCAACTGATAATTTATTGCCAGAGCAAGAATGCAACTGAAAATCTACTTCACTTTATATGTCCCATAACATTAGAGATGCATGTCCGTGATCTAATAACCAACAACAAAAACAAAAGAACAAACATCAGTTCAATATACACACGCTGAATCAATTTGTCTTGAGCGAGTTCATTTGTGCGGCCAAGTGTCAAAAGTGTTTAAAATCATTCGTATTAAATATAACAAATCTTTTTACTTAATTCAAATCATTCACATCAAGTAAAATTAATATACCTAAGGAAAAGTACTTCCAAGTGTTACCTAGGTCAAGATTATATATTAATAAAGCATAAACTATCTTTTGTTGGACACGTGATTCAAAAATAAATAAAGGAACCAAGAGTGAAATGCCCTGTGAACTGAAACATCAATAAAGACAGCGTGCATATGAAGGCACATGCAAATGAATCCCCATCACCAATTCCAGAAGCAGCAACACAATATAAATAAAGTAAAAAGGACACTTAGACTATGTATGGAAGGTAAGAGGCTGGGCAGCCAAAAAGGTTCAATTACCTCCTCTGCATTTGCATCCACCCACTAAAAATCAAATGAAAAAACACATCAAAATTAGGAGGTGAACACACTTTACTTTTGGGTATTATTAGGGGACAGTTCTGTAATAGGATATGTGTACCAGGAAACTGCCAATTAATCATTTTCACTTTCCTAACAATGAGTTCTACATCCCTTTCCATGCTAACTCTAACCAAAATTTAAAAAAATGGATAAAATGAAATTTTTCTGCACATTAAATTAATGCACTCAATACCTGTAACATGCCATCTCTTTAAATTAATTTCCAACAGTAAGTTACAATATTGGGACAAAGTGAATTATTAATATCAGTATTTCATTTGAGTATGGTAATGCTTGTAACAGACTATCCTAACAAAATAAAATATTGCTTAATGTATTCAATTTAATAATTTTTGCCTGCAGTGCAACCATATAAAAATATAAGTTAAAGACATAAACTGGCAATGAAGAGGACAGCAAGTATGTGCATTTCAGACGTAAAAGCTAATGATGGGACCAGTTTGTCTGACATGTGTTATTATTAAATTCAAAATTTAAATAAAGTACATGAAATGGATATATTTTTGATAAAGGGTGAAATCACCTCTCTCTCCTGAATCAATTAATGCTACAATCACCCTAATCATGGAGCTCTCTTGCTATTCCATGTGTCAGATTACATGCAAAGTCCCTCACATTGAAACCACTTTTATCATATACTGACAGAATTTAAAATGCTCTGAAACTAAACATTATGCAAAATCCAGAATAACTTTCACTTAGTTTGCTTGAAAATATTCACCCACCTAAAATTAATTACCAGTATATTATTATGGACCTACAACACAGGCTTCTATTTTACAAAATGTAATGTGAAAAGCCAGCCTATCTTCCCATTAAGTCATAATGCATTAGTCTAAAACAATTGAACAGAATGGCTGAATTTCACATACCCTGATCAAACAATCATCAGCAGTTTACTGTTGTGTTCAAGGAATGGCAACTTCAAAGTTAAAATTACAAGTTATGTGCCAACAATAAAATTAAACAACAAAAGTAAATAGTAAAAAAAGTTCGATGAAACAACTTGTTAAAATGTCCATCACATTTAGGGAACAAGTCACTACAATTTCACACTACAGGAAGGCTATGTGAGAATATTAATTTGGGTATTTCTGTTGATTCCCACACTACAGCAAAAGCAGAAATTACATCATTATTACTTTTATTTTGCAAGATATATGTATATAATAATGCACTCTGAATCTTGCACAGATTCACACATTACAATAAAACGTTGCAGCACTATTTAAACCTAAGCAATGTTACCATAAGTGCATCCTGACTACTAGTTCATTCAATTTATTCTAAGAATAAAACAGCAGTGCACACTGCATGTTATTGCAAATCAGTCTGCAGTACACACACACACATGAATAAAGTGGAATTAGTTGTTAGCAAACCATTTCTAACAGATGAGATACAATAAAAAGTAACTACTTCAATTGTATTGTAGTTGAAATTCATGCTGAAATTCTTACCTTAGCCTAAAAACTTGAAATAAATACACATAATTACATGTATCAAATTATGTTAATTTTTAACTGCTTCTGTCCTGCAGGCTTGCAAAATGTATAATACTTCGTTGCAAAAAAAACCCTGACATGGCACCACATCACTGTTATACTTCATGGAATGTTAAGCTGCCATTGCTATAAACAGCTTCCATGTAAAGCAAATAATCCAACATTTCCTGAAACCTACCTTTACATTTTGAAAAATATTGTTTCCTCTATCTACTTTTTTTACATCTTCCAATAAAATATATCCACACCTTCCTGCTGCCTGTCTTATTTTCTTGTCATGCGATTATACATATAACCAACACTGATATCTGAACATTTATCTTAAAATATAACAACTTACACCTTCAAACATTAAATAAAGAGACACTAACCATGGAATACACTCAACAGAAGTTCAAAGCTTTTGCTGTCTACGTCTAAAATCCTACAAGCTCTGCCACATACACTGTAACATGTTAGACTATACCATGATATTCAGATGAAAGTACTGTTCGGTTTTAACCATACTATTAATATTTGCTTACATCATACATGAAATCCCTATATATCTGCTACTTATAATCAATGTTTGACTAATATAAATTTAACTGTGGAATAAACATTTCATATAATAAGTGTAATGCAATATTGAAAGTTCTAGCTAGAGTCCTAATAAGAGCATTATGGAGAGATAAAGCATTTGATATGAATAAATTGTTCACAGCAAACAATTTTGAGGATGGAAATTTCAGTGGGCAGTGTTGCACTCCAAACTCTCAAGTGCCCCTATTGATAATACATTACTGAATCTAACAACAGTATGTCATTATTCAATACAACAGGAATGACGTAAGACCTAATCTCAGAGGACTTCCTCCTCAAAAGGTAATCACAATATTAAGATGTAGGTGGAATGTACTAATGTATCCTTTACCTCAGGTCTATGTTATGACAAGATTTATGTTAGCTGCAGTAAGAAAACCTCCTTGCATTTACTACTAGGTCCTACTTTGTTGGCTCCCTAATTAAGTTGACTGGAAATGAAATAAAGAGAGCAAGTTCTCACACTAAGAACACGCAACAAATAAGGAATTATCAATAACTTCCAAAAACCCTTCCTGGAGCAGTCTGAAATGCTAAAGCAGTTGCCAATTTTGAAGCCTTCATTTGGGGAGGGGAGTCAACAGTGTTTTAATTAATCTTTTCTAAAGAGGGGGGAGGGGTTTCAACTAGTTATAATTTGAAACTGTATTATGTTTGCGNTACATACTACTAGTACTACGTACGTACATGAATCAATACACAATATTAGATCGTACTCAGGAGAGTACTTAACTTCTATGAATATCAGAAACCATCTCCATTACAGTGTACAGAATCAAACACTTCTAAGACATGAATGACCTCGATCCTCAACTGAAATAAACACACCCTTATTTCATTCTTTACACTCCACTTCAAGAAAGAAGGTGGTTGTATTTACAATGCATAATATCTATCAAAACAGCAGAGAAATGAAGATGCCTACGCAAATCTTTCTTGTTGGGTTGAACCACCAACACTAAACAACCACAACACCCTTTTTCTTTTGTCTTTTATCACTTTTCACATGTCAAATTCTAACATACTGATCAGTAGCAACAGGAAACACTGCACAAATAAAATGCAAAATCTACAGTGTTGGAAAAACAATGTCAGTAACTAGAAGAATGAGTCTTAACTGCTTCCAACTCTCAAGAACTAGTTCAAATTTAAAACTGTTTTCCTTTTCACAGCACGTTAGTTTAGCCCTCACATTTATATGTTGATGTACACACTACAGGAGGAAAGGAAAAATCCACTAAAAGTAAATATACTGAAACAACAGGAAGAAACAGCACATCACCATTACGAGAATCAAAGTCACAAGTATATAATATTCTGTACACAATATACAGCACTCTTTCCTTCAGAGTCAACCTGTAGTTTAATTGATTTCTCTTTTTCATTCCTTTCCACACTAACCTTATTCCATTTTATTTCTCCTACTAAACTCATTTCCTTCAACAGAAAAAAAAAATTAAAAATCTTCCTCTCCTTAATAACTCCAATGACAAATACAGAACATTCAAATCATGGCTGCCATGTCTGTCACTCAAAATGTCATTAACTAGTTCCACTGATTCCAAAATATTGGCCTTCCTCCTGCTTCCATCCACAATGAGTACTGCCTGCTTATCTAATTCACTTCCAAAATATCTGTTGCATTATTCTTGTTCATGTACACATTAATGTCAAGGTCATTCAGGAAATAAACAACTTTTCTGAACATATTAATTACACTAAATGAAGCAGCTTGAATAAAAAAACAAGGTATAAAATTATTTTTATATATTTAAAAGTATATAAAATGCTCTTGTAACAGTTTATAAAGCCAAAACTACTAAAATCTTAATGAACATGACAGGATATCTCTTAGTCCAAGAGAACATTTAATCCTGCAAACTGGGTTTTTCCATAACAACATAATACACAACATTAATCATTCAATAATAATAATTGTAAAATATAATTTGATAACATTTCAGTACATGAATCACACATAATTTAACCAATGATAAGTGTTCCTTCAAATATTAGGGCAGCTCAGAATTAAAAATTAAATTCTTCATAACAGTTATGAAATTAAAACTGGTATTACGGTAATTAAATGTCCTCTATATATATTAACGAATGATTGTATTCCCTCAAATATTATGGCAGCTGAGCATGAAAAAGATAAAAGTGGTACTCAAGATGCAATGTCACTATACAAATATATGCAGAAATATTTAACCAAAACTGCACACAAACTAAATTTCTTTCACCAAGTATCATCTTGAACAAAGTGCTACAATAATATCAAAGTCTGTAAATGGCAGTATTTTAGTTTCTTTTACCATGAAACTAATCTTATGCATTGCACTCCTAACATCACAATGACAGTTATACCATCACGAAAATGTTAATAATGGCAGCTCATTGAACCTTTCATTGCTTCATGGAATAATGTTTCTCATATAGGAGATGTAATTAAAGGTAAACGTCCATCTTTAGCACATTCTCTGCTGCCATTACAACAAATTATCAATGATATGAATTGAAGTCATTGTGATTAAATTTTAATCTCTACAGTATCCATAAAGTATCGACAATTCATCCCCATATTTGAGTGAACACAATAAAAGCTGTAAATCTAAGAAGTGTTGCAAATTTTATTTTGATTCGGTTTTGTTTTCGAAAGTTATCATCTCTACCTTTGTAATCTTCTTGGGATCTGGTGTTCCTGTCTCCAGAATCTCAACCTTCTGGTAGACATTTGGAGAGTTGAGCCATCGCGTGCGATCGTGAGTCTTGCGTCCATCAATGTACTTTTTCCACTGTCTGTAACAATATAAGGAAACCGTAACGTCTGAAATACTTTGAACAACTGGGATGGTCATGTATTAACACACAACCACCCCCTCCCCCTCACCGGAGAAGTTACAGTCTGATATGGCTCTACCTGTGCATGATCGTAAATCATGCACGTTTGTTCTGAATGTCCACGCTCATTCAGTATAAGTAAATGCACACCATACATCTTGACATGTGCCTGCTTGTATGCATGTATGGATACCACTCTTTTGAATTAATTTTAAATAAATCTGGTGATATATCAGCAATAACACTCCCTATCTGAGGTTGGCTGACTAAAGGTATTTTGCTGATGGTTACATCACATACAGAATGGCCCCAGAAGTCAGTTAACTGGTTAGTGATATGTATGGCCATGCCACAGCTCAAGTGATTAGTCACTGGCTTCCCACCACGACAGCCCAGGTCAGGTCATGTGGGATTTGTGGTGGACAAAGTGGTACTGGGGTAGGGTTTCTCTGAGCACTTCGGTTTCCGCTGCAAATTCTCATTCCACCAACCGCTCCACATTATTATTATTATTATTATTATTATTATTGTTGTTGTTGTTGTCGTCGTCCTCGTCATCATCATCATTATTATTCATCTATCATCAGGGGCTGGTACAATGGGCCAATTAGTGGCCACGTACCAAGTAGACTCAGTCTCACCACACCCCAAGAAACAACTAGTGATATGTACTTCAAAATATGTTACAAATTTCTTTATTACTTACCAAATTCACACAAACTGTTCGAAATGAGATTCTCCATGTTCATTGCACAACTCACAATGCTGTGATACCATTCAACTGACTGTCAGGTTTAAATCTGAACACTCCCGTTAATATGAAAGAATGTTTCAGGCTAAGGGGCCTTTCGAGTCATTCTACATGTATATACTACATGCACAGTGTATGTCAAATGTATTTCACATAATTTCCAGAAGCTTTACTGACACTCTAATATAAAATCTGGGCCACTCTGAATTAACAAGATAAAGTATTTCTCTTTCAGAACACACTTTCAGCACACAGTTCTTTCCTCTATCAATAAATGGTGCATGGAGCTTCCCTACGTACATTTTTTTGCATACTGTGAATTAATGGTGCATTGGAGTTAAAATATTATAAATTTATAAACTAGAAATAAAATTGATTCATACCTAATAAATGCTTCTACTGATACACAATGGAAACACTGGATAGTGGAACCATGCTGCTTAACATACGGGAACAAATAGTGCAAGGCAAAAGGAAATCATGGAATTGGGCAGATTATGGTTCTTATGCAGAAACTAGCCTCATGCAAATGCCCCCTCTATATGCTGACACTCATAGCTTCTATACTTAGCACACAAAAATAATGAACATTTTTACTTTGGGCAGGAAGTTACAATCAATTTCTTAAAATTTTCACGAGTTTCATGTAACTGTTGAGACACAAGACAGGGGATCGGATATAGAGCATCTCTGAAAGAATATCATCAAACCACTGAAGAAACTATTCATATGGGGAGGCAGAAACATGAAGCAAATGCTGGGCAGTAATTCTCTCTTCATACAGCAGTGTCAATCCAACCTATCTGCATGATAGTCCCACTCACCCATGTTTGTACAGCTCCTCTTCTTCCAGCAGGTATCCGAGCGAGGAAACAGCTGGTGGGACCTCTACATCATTTCGAGGACGAGGGGGTTCACCCTTCACTAATGGATGTCTATATATGTAGCCTGTGCGGAAACCCTGGAATAAACACCACCAGTTCTCCAAATCATGAAACTTCAAAATCGATTACAAGGGCTATGATAATTAACATTCCCACGGAAGTTAAATAGGACAACAGTGTGGACTAGACAGGTGCCAGAGGCAGGCACTTGTTAAACCTAGATTCCATTAAATGAAAGAAATTTCTTGAGTAGCTAAGCATTTTTTTATTGCTAGTGGGGTGGGACTAAGTCCCTTGTACTGCGCCCACTTCTGGCCTATTGTACCAGCCCCAGATGTTAGGTGAAGGTGATTGCGGAGCAATTGGTGGAATGAAGATTGGGGAAACCGAAATACTTGGAGAAAACGTGCCCCAGCGCCACTTTGTCCACCACAAATACCACTTGATCAGACCCGGGATCAAACCCGGGCCGCCGTGGTGGGAAGCCAGTGACTAACTGCTTGAGCTATGGCACAGCCCTTTGAGTAGCTAAGTAACTACTGGCTTCTCAAGGACTCTGCAGCATGGAGTTGCCTGGCCCATTGTCAGTCAGCATAGTAATCAATCACTGCCTTCGACCACACTCAATTAAAAATTACCTCACAGCAGTCATAAGGATATTTTAGGTTACCTACTGGGAATCAAGCCACTGTTCCCTCATGCGCACAGCATCCACAGGGACAATTTAAACAGGTGGGGGGAGGGGGGGTTTGAGTATCAATGCAGTATCACATGAATGAAAAAAGATGCCCAGGATTCGTTATTTTCCTGAAACAAACTACAGCACAACTTTCTCCACATTTCTGCAATGTCTGTTTAATGGGATGTTTATGTTGCTCCTCAAAATTAACCCTTTCTATGCTGGGTTTCATGTAAAGGAACCTACTCCTGTCCTTCTGTAACAGTATTAATCACTTGGTTGTCTTAATGGAGATAGTGTTTTCTGTGCAGTAGAAGCTGAATTTTTAAATATTATGTAAACGACTTTTACGCCTTGCAGGGTTAGATGGGGAAATACACAGGCAGTACTAAAATTTCATGCAAGACACTGCAATCCTTGAATTTTATGTGCCCTGATTCTGACACACACATTTTGGAAAGATGTATGTGGTATTCAATTAAATATGGTGCATGATCTGCTAAACAACACAACACACTACTAACAGAAGTATGTGAAATGGTGAAGATCATTTTCCTATTATTACTTACATCAACATTTTTGTCAGAAATGGATATCCTTTCCTATTATACATCAAACTATTGTACACACCGTTTTTTTTGGTGTGGCAAGGGAGGGATATCAAACTGGATGAAAATAAGTGATGACAGTGCTAATGAGCAGTATTTAGTAGTGACATAACACTATTAGCAAGAATGTTTTAGTTATTAGCAGAGGACCATCTCCTTACAAATGAAGTTATGTAAAGAAAAGACATATTACATTTTAGTAACAGTGTTAACAAGCTGGCAATGTACTCACAGCATTATCAAGCATCCTCATTAGAGCCTCAAACTCCACAACGCCAACACGCCATGGCTTTTCCTTCTTAGAAGATGTGGCAGGACCGTCAGTGGAATCTTGAAGCTGCTTAGGCGTGGCATCAGGTGGGCGTCTCGCTGCCTCATACACCTTTTTGCATGTCTCGTCAGGCACCAGAACCAAGTTCTCGACACCAAGTGGCATTAATTTCAACTGAAAAACACAAAAACTGAACTGAAGGAACACACCTGGGACTACCGTTTGTTTGCCTTACAGTTCATTACTCAGTAACACTTCCTAACTACATAAGCTATCTAAGTCAAGAGAACTATAGCAACTAAGCTAAAAGTTGGATGACTGAATATTAGCAGTTCAATTTCTGGCATGGGAAACAGACTGGCTCCACAACCCACCCAGTCTCCTATCCAATAAGTACCAGGATCTATTTTACTCCCATCTAATGTCAAGATTAACAGTACATGGAACCAAACCTCCACTTCCCAAACTGTCTTCATGACACGGTCCTTACTTAAACACAGAAATAACTTTATTTAACCACAGGGCCTATATAGTGTTAGATGGGTTAAGTGTGAATGATGAACTGAAATTACTCTGGAAGGAATTAATAGTCTATTTTAGTGTTATCTTGAGTTTGCCTCAAATGACCGAGCCCCCCTCCCTAATCAAATTTGCCACCTTCAGGCTGGAAATTAATCCCAGATCAAAGCAATTATGCATATCATGCAAAGCTGATAATTCATTTGCTATGGTAACCCAAAATTGTGTAATTTTGGAGCTTTCACTTACCAGTACTTCATCATGAGCAAACAATATTTACAACTACATTTCTGCAGTGTAATTTGCCACTACACTTGGAAGTCATACAGCCACATAAGTACTTTGAGAAAGCAATATAAATTAAACTGACGGTCTCACAACAGACAATGAAACTTAAACTTAGTGTTTCTTTCTGATTATCACATCTGAACACTAAACTGAAGAAAAGTTTAAATGTAGACAATTTACTGCTACGAGTACTGATTTTGGACCATTGATACTCAGTGTTAATTGAGGGAAAACCTTAAACTGAGGAACATTAAATGTGAACAAACTGTAAAATTTTCCACAGAATCTTACACAAGTCAGTGACAGTATAAACAACTGAGTTTACCATCCACTCATGTAACGGTTACAAATAAGATAATATCTTACCTGGTTTTCACATGCCAGCACAAGATGGTGGACATTGAAAAATGCTTCTTCAACTGTTTCACCACAACAAACTGCACCATGGTTCGCAAGAAACATAACCTGAAAGTATTAACAACAGGTTAATACACTCAAATAAGAAACGCAAGTAAAGCTAACATACATTATAATGGTACACACTTAGACCATGAATTAGCATTCATTAGGAGGGAGATTTAGATGCAGCATGTAACATGCCATTGACAAAGGAAGAACACATTCTCTTTTAATGTACCATATTATCATATCCTGTCTATTTAATTACTGTTGTTCTCATTCTAACTCTATGCACATTCACAGCACATTTTATCAAGTTTCTGATGAACAGAATATTATAAGAAAATTGTTTAAAAAGCAAGGATTACAGATGTTGCTGGGTTCTATGTCAGTGATTCTAAACTTTATTAGCCACAAGTTATGTAGATCAGTACACTGTGCAGTGCAGCTGATTGAACGTTTTCAGCATTACTACATTACGGCCCCCCAAGTTACTATATGGCCAGGCCGCGCCATAGCTCAAGCAGTTAGTCGCTGGCTTCCCACCGTGGCGGCCTGGGTTCGATCCCGAGTCTGGTCAAGTGGGATTTGTGGTGGACAAAGTGGCTCTGGGACAGGTTTTCTCCAAGTACTTCGGTTTCCCCTGCCAATTTTCATTCCACCAATTGCTCCACACTGGGGCTGGTACAATGGGCCAGAAGTTGCCACAGTACAAGGGACTTAGTCCCACCCCACTAGCAATTAAAAAAAAATACTACATGGCCTACACATATGCAGCAGCAGGAAATTTAAAATCTCCTATTCCACAATTACAAACGCTTAGTTCATAATTAATATGTGGCTCTCACACCTATAGTGCTGGGAGATTTAAAAACCTTATTCCTAAAGGCTTAACACCTTAAAATGTCTTATTTATGCAATAAACAAAAACTTTCATAACTTATGGTCATATATTTACATAACCAGCAGCTTTAAGTCATAATTTAATTGCAATGTGATGTAACTATATTTCTGGTCAAAACATAACATGAATCAGAGTACAGTCTACTGAAAAGATGAATCCCATGCTGCAACATTATTATTCAGAAAAATTAAAACTTCCTGCAAGTGTTGGTACCCTATGTTCTAAACCTTTGACCTTTCCACACTGCCAAATGACAAAGCAGAGTTGAAAAAATAAATAACAATTTATCAAAATAGTATCAATGTAGTGGAAACGTGAACTCTTCTCATGCAAATTATACTTCTACTACCACTAACTATCAAGAAAGGATCAGTATTCAGGGCAACTCTGCATACCTTGAACTGAATAAAGTTTCTGAATGTTAAGTTCCTTTTATCAACTCACTTTGTTCATGGGTCCTAAATTTCGTGCAATCTTCTCCCGCTCTTCTGGTTCAAAGAGCCCCCCAAGATACGGGTGCTGACTCACTTCTCCAATAACAATCGCTCCATGGCACAGCGGCAACAGCCCACATTTGAGGGATGACATCTGTGGAAAAAGAACATAATTAAATCAGGTGAACAAACATGAAAATATGTTCAAGTACAGTACAACGTCAAGCTTCTTAGTTTTATTACTATAATAGTACAGTACATTGAATGGCTGTTGTACTGTGATGTGGAAAGCAAATGGAAAAACTACCACATTATCACTTTTCCTGGATAGTACCTTTCCAAAGACAGAGATACCATGTATGAGAGATGTTTCCTCTGGAGACAAAACAATATTGGAGGTAAACTACTCCCCCAATTGGATCTCCGTGGGGGGAAGAAGACATAAGAAGATGCTGGATGACATTCGGGACAGAAGAGGGTATTCTCATTGGAAGGAGAAAGCTCTAGATCGCATTAAGTGGAGGAACTGTTTTGGAAGAGACTGTGGACCTGTCGTCTGACAGATTACTGATGATGATTGTCAAAACATATACAGGGTGTTTCACGACTTTAGGGCATAACTGCAGGAGGTGATTTCCTAGGTCTTTGTGATCAAAAAGTTCACATAAACATGTGTCCCGATTGTGGAAGGTTACGGAGTTATGACCGTTTTTTCATTCCCGTACATGCCCTCATGTGAACCGCGTCTGTCAGCTGTCGGGTCGCCAGCTACAGACAGAGCGTTCTCGTTATCTCGACACATGAGAGCTACCTAAGGCGGGGTGAGTTGGTATGTTCGGCGCGGTTCACAACCGAGCAGCAGCCTGTGTTGCGGCCGGCGGTGGCATTTTCAAAAATCAGCTTTAAGCACCAATCAATTCAAATTAAAGGTAATTTCAGGAAGTTAACTTTACATTCATACTTTAAATGCATCGTGTATTATGCTGGTTTATTATTTTGTTCCGTTTATTGTCAGTAATTGTTACCTTCTATTCTGAATTTAAAATGGTCATAATTCCATAACTGTCCAAAATCGGACACATGTTTATATGAACTTTTTTGATCACAAAGACCTAGGAAATCACCTCCTGCAGTTATGCCCTAAAGTCGTGAAACAAGTAAGTTTTCTTTCTTTCTTTCTTTCAAGTAAGATTTGAGGTTTTCAGAGCCATGACAATTTACACTGTAGTCTTTTGGGTTACAGCAATGGGTAATCTCGAGGGAGGTTACAAATGTTTCAGAAGTATCTGTTACTCCCAGGTTCCTCCAAAATATTGTAAACAACCTATCAGACTATGCTATGAAATGGATTTTTCCTTATGCCCTTCTTCTCCTAAACCATGCATTTAGCAGCTTTTCTTTAGATATTAAATGATTATGGAAAGTGGCTCACTGTGCTGCACATGTGAACCCGCCATCAAACAGACCTCTAAGAGACTGGCTACTATGTTCAAAAACATCTTATTAACATGCGCATTTGTGTGTTGACAGATTTTAAAAATTCCTCTTTGTAATGTAATTCTGCATGAACAACCAATGCAGCCCTGTAATATGAAAACAGAAATATTCACAGATATCACAAGACTGCAGCCTGCTTCAGCCTGGTTTCCTTCTTGGTTTACTCTTTAGCCCTGAAGCTGGCAGTGACATGTTCCTCTGAAACATTCTATGATGTTATATCCTAGAGGACAAAACTTTCCCTAACCACTTCTGTGAGAATCTCATATTGTACTTATTAAAATGTACTCCCCCACAGTCCCTCATACTGTTTATACAAATTCTATCATCAGCTTCCAGTCCACTTTAACTTGACTAAAACAAAAGCATGTGCATATTTCTGAAGCCCTGATATCAGCTAAATGACCAATAAGGTTGAATTTGCACAGACAAAACCTGTCCCCAATGTCACACTTCCTATGTTGTACACTACCAAGGATAGGATAAAACCAAATATGAATATTCTTTATTGATAATAATTAAAGAATTCAGAGTTTTTTAAATGTTTATGAATGGAAGTCTGTGCTTCCTTTGGAAGTTAGTGAGGATGGAGAGTTGGTGAGACCTGACTTAACAGGAATGCTAGCTTAATATGATGTGGACAGTGTTCACAGGAAGATCATAATGAATGTACAGGAATATGCAGAAATGAAATATTCAGTTTTATAACTCATATGAAACATTGCACAAATATCCATACCACTAGTATGAAAAGTACTTGAAAAATAAAGGAGCACAAACAGTTAAGTATTCAGTTCAGTAATTTAATGGAAACATAAGTGGCTGTAAGTGTGGTTGGCATTACATGTACACTGTTCAAACAGTTTACTGGAGGTTTTAAGCTTTCAGTAATATTTAATTATATGCAGCTGAATTTACAAATACTGATAAATTCATCTATAGTAGCGTACTTGGTTGGGGCACTATGCTACAAGCCAGAAAGTTGTGGGTTTGATTCCCGATGAGGTCACTGTATTTTTCAATTGACCTAATCCTTCCAGCCACAATATGGGCCTGGGCTTGAATAAGCCTCTAACAGAAATGAGTACCAGGAATCTTCCTGGAGGTAAAGGATAGCCGACGCATAAGGCTGACCTCACAGCAGTTCATGAGCCGATTGTCTAAAAAATGTGGGAGCCTCACGTCCACAACCCTATGGGCCTCCATTTCCAGATACAGGGATAGTTTTAAATTTTAAGTGGCATTTTAATCCTTTGAATGCCACGTATTTGACTACATTCAGCTCAAGAGTGCTTGTATTAAAACCACCACAACCAAAGAGATAAGTACACTCACTGTTAACCAGTCAGTATAGCACTTTTGCTAATAGAGAGCAACGAGTGTGACATACCCATATTCATAGAAATGAACAGGTTTTCACATCAAACACTTGTTGTTGTTTCAAGGTCATCTGAAGAAACTACTGTGCACTTCTCTGTGCAAATGCATTTAACCCCAAGCAGCCTTGAATTTCTAATGGTAGGTCCTATGGTGGAAACTAGCAGTCAAAGGGCTAATATAAAATCAACCAAATACTCCTGTCAATTTCAACTAACATGTCTGAACAATGGAAGAGATCTGTTGTCAACATTCTTTTACAACAAACCACTTGTCAACTGTGGCACCAGAAGAACATTATACCACACCAAAAATACCAACACTATGCCACCACAACTTACTGCAAGCACTGAGGGTGTACGAATATGGATGATGCATTTGATGTCTGGACGAGCTGCGTGTATTGCTGAATGCAACATAAAACCAGCTACATCAATACCAAAGTTGGTAGTACCCTGTTCTACTACCGATCCTTGCATATCAATTTTCACCAGACTGGATGCTGTGATTTCATGATACAGCATACCAAATGGGTTCACCAGGAAGTGTTCTTGGTCTTGATTTAACCTTGCCTGCAACAGAAACAAAACACACAAACAATATCATAGCTGTATTTACAGATGTCAATGTTTGGTTTCCCCGCAACAGTGCTACAGCACTAACAATACCAGCACATTCGCATTCTGAACATGTGTTGTGTTCTCTTCTGAATACAACAGAAACCCAGTAATACACTTTATTCTGCAGTATGCTTGCTTAAAGCACCAATTTTGCATCTCAAATGAGAATACTGAAACCACATATGAAACAGGCTTTTAAATTCTGTTTTAAGATATATATGCATATTCATTCCAGCCAGCCTGTGCCCATGAATGAGTATTCAAATCAAGTATGGAGGGGTTACTAGCTTTGCCAAAAACTGTAAACTGAGGAAATTTAAGACAGATTACTGGCTTGAGATCACTGAAGGTAAACATTAAATAAGGAGAAATGTTAACTTGAGAAACATTAACTGCGGAGGCCCCCTGTACNTACCGTATTTACGCATGTATAGGCCACACATTTTTTTGCCAAAAATTCAAGAGGAAAACTGGGGTGCGGCTTATATTCAAAATATTCGAAATCACACTTCATTTAAAAAAAATTATATTCATAATTAAAACTCCATAATTTCTACTCCTGAAATAATATTCCAAGAAAATTATTTTTTCTATAATTTCTGTCTGAAAATTGTGCTGCGGCCTATACATGCGTAATACGGTATTGCTGTTCCATTGAATCTGCATTCACAACACCAGTTATCATATATGTAACTGTGCAATGGAAAACAGATGACATAAAAAGATAATTACCAGTTGTTTACTTCAGTGAGAACCTTTTTTAGTTCATATTTTAGCCCTAATTTATAGTATCTCTCGATAAACAACAACACTTCTCAATTAGCATACAATGATACATCCAACCTGAATAAAAACTTGTCTAATACATGTTTTCAAAAATGATTAAGAGAACCACAATAAACATAGAAGTATTACTGTAGGCTGTACTGTAAACTTCTTCTGCAAGGGAAATGGAAACAAGTTACTGTCCTGATTGCAAATGGGTGCCAGTGAGGCATTTTGGGGATCAATATGAAGAGGCAGAAATCTTTGGTACCATTCCTATGACTAGCGTTTGAAGAAAGTAACAGGAAACTGTACATTAGGAAGTGTATTGCCAAGAGCTAAATTTTTCCAAGATCAAAATCAATAACAAATATTCTATTTCAGTGGTCCTTCTCTTTACTGTGATTTCAAATAATCCAAGTTGTTTTCAAAACTACTCAATTTTTATCATTTTGCAGTTTTTTTCTGTGGTCCACAAAGGGAAGTTAAGTATTTAGTTTTGTTACTCATAATCATTTCTGAAAAGAGAGTTAGAAAGAAACCATTATTGCAAAGCTTTCAACACAAATGTAATTACTAAATAACTACTGGGTGATAACGTAGATGCCATAAAGAAAAACACACAAACTTTAATTTACGCAAGTAAAGAGGTTAGTCTAGAAGTAAACACAGAGAAAACTAAGTATATGTTACAGTCTTGTCACCAAAATGCAGGGCAAAATCATGACATAAAGATAGGAAACAGATGTTTTGAGAATGTGGCACAGTTCAGATATTTGGGAACAATGATAACAGATCGAAACCTGATTCAGGAGGAAATAAAGAGGCGATTGAACTTGGGTAATGCTTGCTACCATTCAGCCCAGAACCTTTTGTCTTCTCGTCTGT